CTCAGTGAAGCACATAATACTGCACTCTCTGTACTCTTTTTGAGACCTTGTTAGCATTTCAAGCTCGTCCATCTTGTTAGCTAGCGATCTCACGTTACCCATCACAACAGTTGGAAGAAACGGTTTAAGTCTCCACCGTTTTTCTCTCTGCCTTACCCCTGCTCTGCAACCTCTTCTCTTCCTCTTTAACTCCACTGGGATTTGATGTATTATTTCGCTGAAAATTTTGATTTGGGAGAGTTTTAACAGTTGATCACGGTTGTAGGCAATTTTTCCGTTGTCATGGATACTCATCATAACATCTTGTAGAAAAATCTCCTGAGTTGCAAGATTTCAACTCAGCATAAAAAATCATCCAAGAAAAAACTTAATCTGACAGGCAATGTCAATAAAAAGACAACAATATATCCAAAAAAAACCCTCAAAAGCAAAGGGAGCTGTTACAAATTGCTGCCACCTAGCGGCGCATTCCAGAAAAATCATGATCAACTGTATCAAATGCAGCACTGAGATCCAGAAGAACAAGTTTAGAAACCAGTCCACTGTCTGAAGCTTGTCCTGAAGTTCTTGTCCTAGGGATGGCTTTTGTGATAAAACCGCCTTTTCAGGCTATACCATGGAGCTGTTCTTTTAAAATTCATTGCCTTCTTTTTCAGAGGTGTGACGTTGCAGTATGTGTCCATGTGTTGGACTAATGTTAGAGAAGCTGGTTCAGATTTAATAATAATGGAATAATTTCTTAAATTAAGTTACTGCATTATCAGATACACATCTGCTTTGATAAAATTTCTTGGTAAATGCTGTCAAGTGAGGCCAAGGATTGGGATCCCAGAAGCAGTCTCTAACAAAGAACACTGGCCCGGCGTAAGCAATATAAAAAACTCTATGATAAGAAATGCTGTAATCTGGTGATTGAGTGTTTAAATATGAAATGGTTATTTTAACATTGCAAGGAATTAAAGGTGATTTTTGCAGCAAAACACCTCCACAAAATGATGCTGCCACCCCCATACTGCACAGTTGGGATGGTGTTCTTAGGTTTACAATCTTCCCCCTTTTTTCTCCAAATGTAACGATGGTTATTGTGACAAAACAGTTCAATTTTAGTTTCATCAGACCACAGGAAATGTCTCCAAAAATGAAGGTCTTTGTCCCTGTGTGCATTTGCAAACTGTAATCTGTTTTTTTTTTTTTTTTTTACGTTGCTTTTGGAGTAATGGATTCTTAATCTCTGAGTAGCCTCTCAGCCCATGTCAGCGCAGGACTCGTTTCACTGTGGATAATGACACTCTCTTACCAGCTTCAGCAGCATCTTCACAAGGTCTTTTGCTTTTGTTCTGGGGTTGATACTGTTGGAGAAAACCATCTTTCTCCGCGTGTTCGTTTCTAAAGATGAGATGAGATTCAGTTCGGCCTCAATCAATCAATTTAATTACACATTGAATATTGCATTACAGAGCTCTGGGTCTAACTCTCCCTAGCATCAGACAGAGCAAGACTACTCCTTTTGCCTCTGACCCTTCTTTTTACTACTAAGTCACATGATGCATGGTCAGGTCGTAAAACAACTGATTGGGGCCCATCTTCATCACACTGAATAGTTGCATCCTTATATGGACTTCTTTTCCTCCGTCTTTTTCTCCGTCTGTAGCTTGTCCTGTGAAACCATATAAGGAAAAGACCCAAGCAACTTCTTCAAAAGAAGACATTTCATGACTATGTGCATATATGTAACTTCTTTTATATTTTAAACCTTAAGGACTATACTTCACACATGATATAATATATTTATACACAACAATACGCATATTTCGCACCAAAACAGGTTCGTCCCTGGGACACAGAACCTGTCTTCTTCCTGAGCGGTATGATGGCTAGACTTTCCCATGGGGTTTATTGTTTGAACAGATGAAGATGGAACCTTCAGGCATCTGGAAATTGTACCAAAGGATGAATCAGACTTGTGGAGGTCCACAGTTCTCTTCTTGATATCTTGGCTGATTCCTTTAGATGTTCCCATGTTGTCACAAAAGGAAGTGTGTTTGGGTTGTGCATTAAATACATCCACGGGTGTGCTTCCAATTAACTCAAATGTCGTCAATTAACCCATCAAAAGCTTCCAAAGCCATGACATCATCATCTGGGCTTTCCCAAAATAGTTTGAAGGCATAGCAATCTTTGTGTATGTAAACTTCTGACTTTGAAGAAAGCAGTAAAGAAATCTCTAAAAACTTCTCTGTCATTATTGTGGCATTTAGCGAAAGAAATAATTTTGGTAATTCTAGCTGACCTAAAACAGGAAAAGTTTAGTCTGATTTAATGTCTTACATTGAGAAAGAGTTATGTGTCTTTTTATAGAGTGTATGTAAACTTCTGGTTTCAACTGTATATGTGGAGAACCATTTTGAAACTCCAGAACTCAATTCTATTTCAATTAGGCTGTTTGGCAATGTTTTTGTTTTTGTGGTACAACTTACCTGCTCAATCAGTTGTAAAAGTTCAGTGAAAATAACTTTTTTTCATTTTTGTGATCAAGTATTTTATATTAAAAAGTATTCTATATATCTTGTTTTGTGTTATTGAGACATGCAATTACATATGGTTCAGAAAATATCACCAGCTGATAGGGGTGTAAAGATTCACCGATACGAATCGGAAATCGATTTTAACTTTAACGATATGAATACATTAATCCGCGCGCCTCTGAATCGATCTATATCTGTTGTGGAGTGGACGATGTCCGGTTGAAAAGTTGTGAATCGGTTTATTGGAGCTCTGCTACTAAATACGGCTGCTCTAGTCTCGCGAGACTCCCACTGGGACATATTATGAGAACAACGTTCGCTTGACGTGTTTGCGAGCAACAACACAACAGCATGGCCGAGAGTACTGGTACAATTTATAATGCACCCTCCAACCTTAAATCCAAACTGTGGAAGAATTTTGGATTTTTAAAGAAAGATTGCAAGTTGGACAAAAGTTTGGCCATTTGGAAACTGTGTAAAGGTGCAATTAAATACACTGGTAGCACAACCAGTCTCAGCACTCACCTGTTAAGAAGGCACGGAGACACCAGCGCGGGCGACGAGGGATGTGTGGATGCTAGTAGTAGCAAAGCTAGCGTGAGCAAGAACGCACAAGACAAAAGCACTGGTTTAAAAAAGTTCTTCCAACTCAGCCACAACTCTGCGAGGTCCAAGGTAATAACGGCATCTATAACCCGTTTCATTGCCAAGGACTTAAGACCCTACAGTGTCGTTGAAAGTGACGGATTTCGCGACATGATAAACACGCTAGACCCGAGGTATAAAATAGCAAGTAGGCAACATTTCAGTGACAGGTGCGTGCCAGAGTTGTATGCTAAAGTAAAAAGCGAAGTTGAAGAAAAACTGTCCAATGCAGAGCAAGTGGCAATTACGACCGACGCCTGGACTTCATGTGCAACGGACTCCTATGTGACCATCACAGCGCACCACATCACTCCCGGTTGGGAGTTAGAAAGTCATGTCTTACAGACACGAGTATTCAATGACTCGCATACAGGAAAAAATATAGGCACTTTGTTGAAAGGAGCATGTGCTAATTGGGACATTGCTGATAAAGAACCAGCCCTGGTAACTGATAATGCCAGAAATATGATTCTAGCTGGCATGGAAGCAGAGATGACCCCTAACCTTGCCTGCTTTGCTCACACATTAAATCTGGCCTCCCAGAAAGCCTTTGAAGTGGACACTGCTGCAAGGTTGCTGGGAAGAGTAAGGAGGGTGGTTGGATTTTTGCACCGTAACATAAGGGGAGCTGAAATCCTACTGGAAAAACAGCAGCAACTGGCAATGCCACAAGCTCATCCATGATGTGTCCACTCGTTGGAACAGTTCTCTGGACATGTTGGAGCGCTTTTTGGAGCAGTAACCTGCAGTTTTTGCCACACTTCTGTCAAGGGAGCTCAGAAAAGGGGAAGAGATGAACACTCTTTAGGAGAATGATATCTGCAACGCAGAAGATATAGTCAAGGTGACGGCACCTGTTAAAGTTGTGACCCCTATCATTTGTGAAGAACAGCCTACAGTCTCAATGATTGCCCCCCTCAGAGCAAAACGTCTTAAGCACTTTGAGGCATCTGATGAAGACACAGCACTACTCATCACTGAGATGAAGAAGGCGTTTAACAATGACTTTGAGAAGCGGTACACCCACCTCCATGACTTCCTCTACACTGCATCTGCTCTAGACCCTTGCTTCAAAATGTTGCCATTCCTGAGTGACCATGATGCTGGGAAGATCTTCACAAGTATGTCAGTTGAAGCTGCAGCTCTGCATAACAAGGTAACCCAACACCAAACAGACTCATTCACTTCAAACAAAGTAAATGAATGAAGTGTATTCTAACATTCTGCTTTGAAAATATTGCTATCACGAACAGAACATGAATTTTAAATCTCACAACAGGACGAAAGATCTGCAAATCCATTGCTGACAGATCCAGCTCAGAGAAACAGTGTACATGGAGATCAAGACAACAGCATTTGTTGCTCCACGGAGCCAGCTGGTGGCTGGAGTATTCAGCACTGCAGGAGACATTGTTTCTGCACAGCACAATGTACTGTGACATGATCATGTTGATCAATTAATTTTCCTCAAAAAGAATCTCGACAAGCAAAGGCGTGTGTGAGATTACTATACTTACGCGTTATATTTTGCACAAGTGTAGTAAAGTTAAAGAAAGTTAGTGTGCAAGGATGCATTCATATTTTGTCTCTCAAAAGACAAACTTAAAACAGGAATAGATGAGTGAAAAATAAAAAAGGGTATAATATGCTCCTGTTTTTCTGTTTTGTTTTCCATTGTTTGTGGAGATTTTGCACTGTTCATAATTGTAGGGTTTTAGTGTGGTAGAAAATAAGGTATACTTATTTCCACACACTAAAGCAAGTGATTGCATTAATTACAATTATTAAAACCAACCTTTGAATTATTCGTCCAGCAATATAATCTCAGAGTCAGCACAATAATTCCAATAAATTGTTTAACTCTTGGTGATCAGTCAAGAGTGTTTGATAAAGTTAAGGGAATTAACTTAGAGCTTAAGTAACTAAAGATCACATACGTAAAGTGACTGGATGTAAGCTACAGAAAACACAGGAAACAACTGTATACACACACACAACATTTATTACTAACTAAACAAACAAACAAATAACAACAACAAACATAGAATATAAAATACAAACAATGATGAAAATGCTGATTGAGAAATATGAATGTGAAAACCGAATGTGGAACAGAGTGGTGGCTTGGAGACTTAAAAGTCTTTTCACCCGAAGCAGCAGATAATCTGTTAAATTTGGAATATTGGCTGAGAGGCCAATTGTAATCATAAAACACCCGTTTAGAGACAGAAGCTTGATACTTGCAGTTTCCAGGGTGCAGCAGCGTCTGGGAGACGAGGCCTTCAGCTTGAGTTGGATCAGGGTGTGGCAGTTGAAGTTGCTACATTGGACCAAAGTGGGCATCTCTCCTGCCTCATGGAGAGAGCCTAGAGAATGCCGTAGAATGCTAATGCTTTTCGGGTGAAGAGGCTTTTTAATAGTGAAACGACTGACCAATCACAGCGAGCTCCGCTCCCAGAGGGGCTGTTAGATATGACACCCAAGTATCACAGGGAGGTCATGAGGTGGTCAGAGTTTTACTCTGAAAGCAACAATGTTCCTTCAGAACTATATGTACTTTCAATTATACAAAGTTAAGCTTGTTGGAAATGAATGTGTCACATGTAGAGCTTCATGGGGTGTCTAAACATGACTGAGCTATCTTGTACGGTTACAGAGATAACACAATGCTTAGGATATGGTAATATAACAAGCTGATAAATGAAAGAAGGACTTATCCAACTGTAATTAAGCTTTGGAGTATTTATCAGGACATGGTATATCATAACATTTAACGATTAAACTTAACACAAGATAATAAGGCACATCTTCTGGTGCTGTGTCTTATTGTTTGTCCATGACTTCAGTTGTTAAGTTCAGTTGTTGCATGCCACAGGAAATGAGGGGTCAGCAGAGCAATACGTTAAGCCCAGGGCACTTCATTGCGCCTGGCCATCTGTTAAGGTCTGCATGGTTGAATGTTTTTCTTTGTCTTCCCCCCAAAGAAATTCTTCCTTAGATCCTCTGATAAGTGTGATAAGGAAATTCCAAAAGGGGCTCTGCTTCCTCACTCCTCTGAGTTTGCAAAGCTGATTTACATGGCCCTGTGACCTGCAGGACAGTTCTGTCTTTTTTATGGCATGTGACTTGGGTGCTGGAAAGTTCAAATGAAGTTTTTCGAATCCTTTTGGGCATCTGTGTCTGTCCATATCCTACATAGTGCTAAAGACCTAGATGCACAGTACACACCAGAATGGCACAAAGTATTTGAAATTCTACACTCGTGCTTCCTAAAGCTGATGTTTAGTTTACAGTGTGGCACTTTATTGTATCTTGCACTTACGTTACTGTGTTACTGTCACTGGTACACTTGATGAACAGCTTACTTATTGTTCTCTATATTATTGCTACCTGAGCAAACAACAGTACAACAGCAGTTACTTGTCCAAAAATATCCTGTTTTCATCCTCTTTTATAGTTTTTTTCCTCTGTTTTGTGCAATTTGTAAACATTGAGATGTTTTCAGTGTTGAAAAGTTTTTGCAAAGTCTGTGTTGTCTGTATGTATTTGATAAACAGTGACATTGTTCTGATCTGATACATTTCTCTTAAATTTTTTTCTACACACAAATAGATTCAAGCATCGAATCGCATCGTATCGTAATGTATTAAAATGTGAATGAGTGAATCGTATCGTAACCCATGTATCGAGATTCTTATCGGATCGCCTCTTAAGATAGAGATTCACACCCCTATTAGCTGACTTTAATGGTTTTTGTTAATGTGTGCTCAAAGATGATTGCTTCATGCTTCATGATGGCTCTACTTTTTTCATATTTCAGTTCAGAGACTATTTGTCCACTATTGTTTATTTGTCCAATATTGCACGTTCTGAATCAATGGCATGATAAGAAATAACAGTGAAAATGTCAGGCTTTTATCTTTAACAGTTCATAAGATAGTATGGTTCAAACATAGCCTCATACTTCAATGTGCAAAAAAGAATTGCCAAAAGTGGATCAGTGGACAGTTTTAATGATGTTGGTGTCATTCGTTCTGACACAGTAGTGTAGTGGCCAGCACTGTCACTTCACAGCTTGAAGGTCCTGGGACTAAATCTCAGCCTGTGGTCTTTCAGCGTGAAGTTTGCCTGTGTGGGTTCTGGCTTCCTTCTCCATGTTTCTAAATTGTCTGTAGGAGCTTGGTTGTCGGACTCTCCATAATGGCCTGTGACCTGTCCAGGGTGTACCCTACCTTCGCCCTTAGTCTGCTGGGATAGGCCCCAGTCCCCTTTGACCCTACAGAGGAAGATAAAGCGCTGTATAGAAAATGGTTGGATGGATGGATTCATTAACTCACTTTCTAGAAATATTGCCTGTTTGTTTGTGGTTTGTGTAGCAAGTGTTAAAAAACAAGTACATGCATTTGCAACCTCAAGGCTAGACTACTGTAATTCCTTATTATCATGATGTCCCTGTAGCTATCTTAAAAATCTCCAGCTGATCCATAATGCTGCAGCCAGAGCTCTGGCAGGAACCAGTAACAGAGCACGTATTTCTCACACATATTGGCTTCGCTTCACTGGCTCCCTGTAAAATCCAGGATATAATTTAAAAGGTTGCTCTGTATGTCCTGGATATATAGAGAATTTGACAATAAAAATCTTCTTTTCTATTGTATTGTATTATATTCTAAAATAATGCTTTTCATATACAAAACTCTTAATGACTAAGCTCCATCGTAACTTAGACCTTAATGCAGCATATTATCCTGACAGAGCACGTTGCTCTCAGACTGCAGTTTTACTTGTCGTACCTAGAGTTTCCAGAAGTAGAATGGGAGGCAGAGATTCATGCTGCTCTAAGTTTATGGTTTTATAAGTCTAGACTACTGAGGGACTTCCCATTATGCACAAAGCATATCTCCCCTACTCTCTGTTTTTCTCTCGTCCATACAGTTGTACACCACCATTGCATATTACTGAATTTGTATCTTCTCTCTCCTGTAGTTTGTGTTTTGTCCTCTCTGCAGGTATCTACACACTACATGTCTCTGATCTCCATCCATTGGCCTCATCGATTTCAGAAGCATTTACTGTTCTCTTATGTTGGTCTGTTATCCATCTGCTATCCTGCTATCCCCACCCTCACCTCAACAGGTTGAGGCAAATGGCTTTGCTCACTGAGCCTGGTTCTGTCTGAGGTTTTTTTTTTTTTATTTTTTAAAGCAAATCCAAAGCCCTGCCCATTTCCCCATTTGTGACAGCAGGGTGAATCATTGTTCTAGATAAGAAAATTTCTCATGTTGTTTTTGTGTTTCCGTGATCTACTCTTTTTTTTCTGATCAGACCAAACACTCCTACCTGTTCTGCTTTTCTGCCAGCTGCAGTACCTGAGTGTCCCCTGCCACTCTGTTCACATGTTTCCACTCTGCTCATCAGCCACTGTAATATTATATATACCCCATCTCACTCCTACTCATTTGGCAGGTTGTTTGTACATGCAGTGCCACAGCTTTCTAGAGCTTTCTACAGCTTTTCCTGTTAGTTTCTTTCTTGTTTTTAACCTTGCTTGTAAAGCCTTTCAATAAATGAAGGTCATTGTCACTTTTACAACCTGCTTTTTGTGTCGTGCTTTTGGATCCACACAACTCTGAAAAAATTAAGTAATTGCTTTTAAAAACTACAAACTTCTGATTCTAACCACATTATCAGTCAAAAGTTTCAACCCTAACCATTTCAGGAGTAATCTATACTAATCTATACTGTACAAATAAAATTGAATTGAATTGAATTGAATTGAATTGAATTAAATTAAATTGAATTAAATTGAACTGAATTGGGGGCTGCACGGTGGCTCGGTGGCTCAGCCTCACAGCTAGAAGATCCCAAGTTTGTGTCCCAGTTGGGACACCTGGGATTTTTCTGTGTGGAGTTTGTATGTTCTCCCTGTGCAGCGTGGGGTCTCTCTGGGTTCTCCAGCTTCCTCCCGCAGTCCTAAAACATGCTGAGGTTAATTGGTGATTCTTAATTGTCCGTAGGTGTGAATGTGAGTGTGCTGGTTGTCTGTCTCTATGTGTAGCTCTGTGATGGACTGGCGACCTGTCCAGGGTGTCCCCTGCCTTCGCCCTAAGTCAGCTGGGAAAGGCTCCAGCACCCACGTGACCCTAGTGAGGATAAACTGGTGTATAGATAATGGATGGATGGATGAACTGAATTGAACTGAAAACTTCATACAAAAAAACTTACTAGGTTAAATCCTAAAGGTCAGCTGTAAATGTTACTGTATATTATCGGCTTGATCATATATTATCTCAGTGCTATAGTTAGAGGTGGGTAGTTTCTTGAGAGTGCGTGTGGTTTATACATCACCCATGTCAAAAAGACAGTTCACCACAGACTTTTGACTGAGAGAGAACTGAAGCACGTCTGTGCCTTTCAGCAGTGCATCATATTACTATATTACTATGATTTTTTTTTGTTTGTTTTTAAAAAAAAATCTTTTTCCTGTCTCGTATATGTGTACCTCTGTTGAATGCTGCTATCAACAATGTGAATTTCTCCACTGTGAGATAAATAAAGGCATATCTTATCGTATCTTATCTTAAACCAGTCAGCGATGATTTTTTTAGTGCCCTTATATGAACAAATTGCTGAAAGTTGAGTTTGACTTGGAAGTTGAGGTCAAGGAACAGCAGTTTCCAAGGCCATTAGACTAAATACTACAAGTTGGTGGTGCTGTTTAAATGTTGAAACTGCATTATAGCTTTGTAAACTTTTGAGTTCATCAAAAGTCATAGAACAGTTTTCAAGATTACATTTTTTTAAATCTTTAAATATTTTCTTTTTCTGCTTTGTTTTTTTAATAAGTTGTGTAATTTATTATGTACAGTTGCGTGGTTATGCCAAGTCTTCAACGACACTCCAGTCCGCTAGGCAGCAGCACTGCACTAAAACCATCCCCGTCTCGGGAGGCGCAGGCTGCGCAAGTGACCGGAGATGAAAATAAATCACTGGCGGAAGAAGAAAAATGGAAGCGGCAGTGTTCATTCTATCGCTTGTGGACTGTTGTGCGCTCATTTTCCTATCTGTTTACTTTGTATCCTTTTGTTTGTGTGTTTCTGGTGGATTTTAAAGGTTAGTAGCCAAAGCGGTAAGCTGGCCGAAAGCTCTCATGAAGTCTTCCCTACCTTAGCATATTTCCGTCAACTTGCTAACCTGTTAGCCGCCTTCATACAAGCCCCAGGGTCACACTGACGTAAACGAAGTTACAATGAACCCGTTTGTTACAGCAGAATAACTACGACAAGGTATGCTCACGGGGATATATAATCAAAACTGAACTTTACATAAAGCATTTTAAGTCAGCACAACCAGAGAGATGAAAACGAATATCTCTCTCTACCTGAGTTAATGTTACTGATTTAAACACTTTTTTACAGCCAAATGTTGACTTTTGTGTGGTGACACGCAAGTCTGTTTCCCGTTAAAGCATTACACAATGACCTTGTAAAGATAACGAGTGTTATTCTGTTCTACCCAGTGCATCTAACTGGTAACCACTAGCTTATATACGTTGTATTCTTGGCATAATGAAGAAAATATTGTGTAGCCTATGTAGACTTAGTGCGGTAAACCCTGAGTAGATTTGTTTTTTCTGAAAAGCAAATTGCAAATTTGACTTGGTCTCTTCAAAATTGATAATACAGCGGCTTCATAAAGTTTTCAGACCCTTTCACATTTGCTCACCTTATTGTCTAAAATGTGTTTTTCAATTGGTAAACCAGACAAGTTTGCCTCTCGATCTACACTTGAAAACCCACAACAAAAAAATATGGTTCATAAATTTTTCTTAGACTGGCAACCTGTCCAGGGTGTCCCCTGCCTTCGTCCTGAGTCAGCTGGGATAGACTCCAGCCCCCCTGTAACCCTAGTGAGGATTAAGCGGTATATAGACGATGGATGGATATATATTTGCTAATTTATTGAAAATCAAAACCTGGTGTGTGCCTACAAACTTTGAAACTAGTTTGAGTTTGACACAAGAATTCTAGACCCATCTCAAGGATAATAAAACTGGATGCATCTGACCGCAAATATGAGTCCTTCAGCTCAGAGACTTAATACATTTGTAAATGACAGATTTCAGTTTCAGGCAGGGAATAACAAAAAGGTTTTCACTTGTCCATGACACCTTCACTTAAATCTCAGATTATCACCTTGTCTGATCTTGAATGTGACTACATCAATGCTAGAGCATGCTGCTCCAAGCTAAACAAGGTAAGTATCCTTTGTCTGGATTATTATTGATTGACGTACATTGACTTAATTTATTTTTACTTCTTTTTTTTCCAGCTAGAGATACTGTGTTGCCAGATTGAATTTTCATTTTAAGTTGACCGTTTGTTTGTAGTGTTTAATTGTATCATCTGTTTTTAGTGAAGCTAAAGAGAGAAGTTTAATTAGTATTCTGATGTATGATTTCAAATTTTGGTGTTTGGTTTATGTATGTTTGACATTTTGTGTGTCCAGTGGGTAATTCCAGAGATGATTGGCCAGTGTCTCTCCACTATGCTGATGTTGATCTCCATGCACTGGTTTATCTTCCTCCTTAACCTGCCTGTGGCTGCCTGGGACATTTATAGGTATGCTTATACAGCTGCTCTTTTAAATAGATGGGTATCATTTAGGGCTGGTCCGAATAGCAATTTCAAATATTCGGGCCGATATTCGGGCCCATTTAATGGCAATATCAAAATTTGCTATCCGATACTACCACAACGACCGAATATTCGGATATTCTGGTACAGCCCTAGTATCATTTAGGGGTTGATTTTCAGCATTTTTCTTATTATTAGTATTAGTGTTTTTTTTTAAGCCAATTTCCAATAATTTATGTTATTTTTAAAATTCCCTACTTTGGCTGTGATGCAGCTGCCTCTCTCTGGCTTTTGTCCGCAGTCTATGGCTTCAAACAACGCTTTGCGCACAGCTCAGTCTGATTGGTTACATGTCATGAGCAATTTCTTTATCAAAAATAAAGACTACTGTGCCACAGATGGGCACAGAGGAGGGCTTTCGCAGACCACCTGCTCTGGTAAGCAGTTGGATGTATTTTTTGAGGGTAAGGTACGAGATGTTGCAGAAGTTGCAATTTATATATTTATATTTACACACACACACACACGCACTTGTGGCTTTCTGTAGCAGTCCTTAAACAGCACAGTTGAACATGCGTCCTCTTTCTGGCAGAAAGGCACTGAAGGCAAGCTTCTACGACTACCAATGTAGCTCAACTGTTCTTTACAGTGGTTTGTTACAATAATCACATTACTCCTGATGCTGCCCCAATCCACCAATCAGTCTTACACTCCATTTTGCCCTTACTCATTAGCAAAAGTCAGTGATACTTAATGTATTTGGCAAAATGTTTGTTCCTGGTGGCTAAATTTTATGTTTGCTTTCAGTCAGACTTAAAAACACAATAAAAAAAACATTTTGGAAAGCAATTTGGTCTGATATACAGTGCACAACTCCTCATTTCTCCAAATGTCGATAAAGGTGGTAGAGAGTGCAAAGTTAGTATGATCTATTCTGACACATTACACACATTAATGAGGAATATGCCAGGCAGAAATACACCATATTCATCCTTGAATCTTCTCCTGCAAAAAGCAGAAAAGCAATTCTTTGGGCCCCAAACAGGACAGTTTCCACTTTTGTGACTGCACAACAACCCTGATATCACATAGTTCTGCAGCAATGCCTGCAATTCACAAAGCACACGTAGACTTTGTGAGCAAACTCCCATGACCCCTCTAGTAACCTTACAAGGATGGTGGTCTACTGTTTCACAACCACTTCTTTTGAATTCTTCAGCATTTTAGGCTACCTTGCTGCTGAAAAGTTTCTTAATTCATCCTCTGCCAGGGATGTGGGTCTTTAAACTCTGCCCCTCCACAGAGACTAGTTGTTGTTTTGTTTTTGAGTGCTTTCGGCCATCTGACAATATCCCCAGTGAGGATCTACAAATCTCCCTCCTGCCTTAAAAAGCCTGAGCCAAAGCTTGCTTTTCCTTCACTTCATGAGTCATCTGACAGTTTGACAGAACTTTATTGAAGCCAACCAGAAGTCCCTTCACCGGTGCAACATAAAATTACATAGACTGTGAAGATTTAGTTACGTCACACACCACTGGTCTTCTGTAGTTAGGAGCATTGTCATACTGACCATGGTGTAGTGAGGCTTGTGACTTTACCCTCTTCTTGTCCCTATCATCCCTACAGGTACGTGAAGGTCCCAATGGGAAATATGGGTGTGTTTGACCCAACTGAGATCCACAACCGAGGTCAGCTTAAATCCCACATGAAGGAAGCCATGATTAAACTGGGTTACCACCTGCTCTGCTTTTTCATTTATTTGTACAGGTGACAGCAGCAGCGTCTACAGACACAATTTAATGACATGTCCAGGGCTTTCACATTTTAGCTTACTGTCTGTATACTAACACGTATGTTTCCCACCCTTTGTTTTTTCCAGCATGATCTTGGCTCTTATCAATGATTGAAGTCCCCAGCAAGCTCTTTGACTCCAGCTGCCAAATTTGAAACTCCAGGGTTTGTTGTTGTTTTCTCACACCCTGCCATTGTACTGTATGCATAAAATCTTTCAGAACAGCAGAAAAATAGGTTTACTTCTACCCTGTGGCTACACTACACACATAATGTATGCATACATGTAATATACATGTAATGGTTGCCTCAACAGCATGCTTCCATTATAATCAATAAAAGTTGCAAAACTACACACGTCAGAAGTCTGGTCTATTTTTACACTGCAAATGTAAAAATAGACCAGACTGCTATTCATTTTTCTACTCGCTACCGGTATACAGAAAACAGCTGCTTTGTGTCAGTATCATTTTCCATTTTGCTGTGATCACCCTGTGGGTGTTTATTTGCCAATATCAGCTAACGGTTGCTTAGTAACTTTATCCCTTATAAAGTCCACTGTAGTCTGTGTCAATTTATTTGTCTTGCACAACGTGACATTTCACAGCAATGTGCTGAGTCTAGCAACTGCGGACAAAACAATCCCAAAATGAAAACTCACCATCTTGTTTTTCCACAACCCAAGACCATAAATACACTATAGGTGTAGCTACTAAAAAGATACATTCCAGAACACTTCCATACTGTGGTCCCCATATGTTACAAATTCAGTGTAGCCACAGTGTCAGACTGATATTTGTGTTGTTGTCAACATTTCAGAAGTTTCCAGAGAATTCTAGAGGGTTTACTTTTGAGAGTGGTCACATGGTTGATATGTAACTACTCAACACTTACAAACCACTTCATTTATTGTGAAAAGGGAACTTGTGCAAAAAAAAAAAAAAAGCCTTAGATTTTAACAGTAAATAAATATAACATCTACAGCATTCTTACCTGACAGGATTGGACCATGCTGTGGTTCTCTGTAAGATTTCACATGTTGCATCTTCAGAAATAGCTGTCTGTAAACCACTGGCATAACATGGTTATTTCAATTACATGGTTATTTCAATTACTTTCTGATGGCTTGAAGCAGTCTGATCTTTGATTGCTCATCAATCAGACGTTCTCATGCACAGAATGTCATTGACACCCTTGCTTGCAGATGTCCCTTATCAGTGGAAGTTCTGCAAACTCAGCATGCTGAAATGGAGAGGTCAGAGCTCTCTGATGGCCTGTCCTTCAAATATTTTCCGCTTCAAGTAATTTTTGTAATGCCATATGCAATCCCTTGTCATATGCCTTGAAATACTGTCATTTAGATTACATACAATGAATCCACTGAATTAGATTCACAGTGGTTTGAAAATGGTTGAGTACTTTGTAGAAGCAGAGAAGAGGATTCTGAGATGGTGTGTGAAAGCGAGTTAGCAAGGTTTAAGGTGGGAGTGGTGTGCAACACTTTTCTCTGAATTTTTCAGATATTTTTCTTCCTCTTTGTTACCAGCTTGTGCACATGTAAAATCACTTGCTGTTCTTTTTCTTTTGGTTTTGTGTTTTTTTTAATTTTGTTTCTCAAACGATCCAGGTTCTGAACTCCATTTTTTAACAGAAAGGGTTTTGAAGTTGCATCATATATTTGGTCACAGAGTATCAAAGAATTTTCAAAATAAATGTTTATTCTAAGATTTTTGATGGTATTGAAATGTAGTGAAAACTGTGATTGTGACATCACATGTGAAGACCGTCAAGGCTTCTAGCAACACACTTCACTAATCATCGACCACAGCTCAGCCTACAGACACACTGACACATACACAGTCATTTATGCCTCAGTGTGAGAATGTATTTGTGTATATTCACCACAAACAGCACCAAATGTAGTAATGTGATTGGCCAGTTTTAGTGATGTGGTGCTGCCCCACTCCATGGGCAAAGTGAATGACAATCACACTTAGACTACACACGTGAGTAATCTTTCACTGTGTTGTGACACATCACAGAGGTGGATGCTGTTTTAAATTGTGAGTCTCTGTGTATATGGCTGTAGGTTACTGTGTTAGATTACAGTATGAGTGACAGTTTAGATTTGACCTCAGTCATGCACTGATGTAGCGTTTACTGAATGACTTATTATTGTAAGTTTAAGCCAGACATTCCCTGTTTGTAAGTTTACTGAGTTAGCTGGTGTTACAGCTTTAAACCTGGAAAAAGGATGTGTGCACTCCTCTTTAGATGGTGTATAGACAGAAGAGTCATGACTGTACATTACAGCTGGTCATATAATTAGAATATCATGAAAAAGTGTATTTATTTCAGTAATTCCATTCAAAAAGTGATTAGAATATTCATTCATTACACAGACTGATATATTTCAAATGTTTATTTCTCTTAATTTTGATGATTATACCTGAATACTAATGAAAATTCCAAATTCAGTATCTATGAAAATTAGAATATTACTTAAGACAGATACAAAAAAGAATTTCTAGAAATGTTGGCCAACTGAAAAGTATGAACATGAAAATCAAAGCCGCAAGCGGCGATGGACGGGTCCTCGCCCTACGCTTGTCGGCCTTCGCGCATGGCGGGATCCGGCATGTCGAGTTTGGGGCAGATCGGAGCAAGTGTGGCTTAGTTACGAGCCACTTCCTGTTTAGTGGCGAGCTGCGGTGGCGTGCGTGTTGGCCAGGGTGGAAACACGCTCTGGCTGAGACTCGGAGCACGTGTGTAAAATTTCAGGCCGCTGGGGCACAGACACAGCACGTCTCGTATTCTGGTGTTTTATGGCGTTGTGGCCAAATTCAGGGGGGCGCCATTTCCACGCCGTCACACTTGTGCGGACCGTTTTACTAACGTGTAATCACCACCTCCTGTAGTTTGTGCTGGCCAAATTTCAGGTGTGTACGACCTTCACTGTAGGAGGAGATAGATTGTGAAAATGGCCAAAAGTCAGCCAAATGCACCAAAATTGTCACTGGGGTTTTTCAGCATAACGGACTTCCTGTTGGGTTTAGGGCTTGGAGTTGTCAACTTTTTTGTGCGTCCTGACCTGCTACACATGCCCACTGAATCTTGTAGCTGTAGGTGAAACGACCATCGGATAACAGCCAGTTGAATGCAAAAAACACTGCGAAAATGGACAAAATGGCCATTGATCGAAATTGGACGGGCCGCCATTTCCAAACCGGGCCTCATCTGCGAAGTGTTTGAAGAACTTTTAGTCACCACGTCCTGCAGTTTGTGGCTGCCAAATGTCAGGTGTGTACGACGAACCCCCTAGGAGGAGTTCGATTTAGAAAATGGCCAAAAATGGTCATTTTTGAGCAAAAATGGCCTGGCATGGTCGCGGTTTTCCTGTTGGATTTACAGAAACATGCTAATGGACTTTTTGGTGCGTCACAAGTTGCTACATATGTGTGGCGAAGGTCATAGTTGTAGGTGAAACGTAGCCACAATGGGAGTCTGTTGAAATATTGTAGGGGGCGCAGTTGAGCCGTGTTGCATTTTAGAGGTTGGAGCGGAGAGATATTTTTATTTGTGCCGACCAGCTCTATGTGCATTCCAAATTGCGTAGCTGCAGGTCAAACGTGCTTTTGATAGGACTTCATTGAAATTTTCAAGGTGGCGCTGTGGAGCCATTTTGGCAGTGACGTGTCCAAGTCCCTTAAAATATCAAATTTTTCGCCAGTCCTGATGTGCGTGGCGATTTTGGTGAGTTTTCAAGCATGTTTAGGCCCTCAAAATCGCGTTTCAAAAGTCGGTAAAATAATAAATAATAATAATAATCACAACGGTTACAATAGGGTCCTTGCACTGGTGTGCTCGGACCCTAATTATGAGCATGTACAACACTCAATACTTAGTTGGAGCTCCTTTTGCCTGAATTACTGCAGCAATGCAGCGTGGCATGGAGTCGATCAGTCTGTGGCACTGCTCAGGTGCTGTGAGAGCCCAGGTTGCTCTGATAGTGGTCTTAAGCTCTTCTGCATTGTTGGATCTGGTCTTATCACATCTTCCTCTTCGCAATACCTCATAGATTTTCTATGGGGTTAAGGTCAGGTGAGTCTGCTGGCCAATTAAAAACAGGGATACTGTGGTCCTAAACCATGTACTGGTAGCTTTGGCACTGTGTGCAGGGTCCAAGTCCTGTTGGAAAATGAAATCTGCGTCTCCATAAAGTTGGTCAGCAGCAGGAAGCATAAACCTAAGAAAACACAATGGACCAACACCAGCAGATGACATGGCACCCCAAACGATCACTGACTGTGGAAACTTTACACTCGACCTCAAGCAACATGGATTCTGTGCCTCTCCTCTCTTTCTCCAGACTCTGGGACCTTGATTTCCAAAGGACATGCAAAGAACATATCTTTGGACTACTCAGCAGCAGTCCAGTCCTTTTTGTCTTTAGCCCAAGCGAGATGCTTCTAATGCTGTCTTTTGTTCAAGAGTGGCTTGACACAAGGAATGTGACAGCTGAAACCCATGTCTGTGCGTAGTGGTTCTTGAAGCACTGACTACAGCTGCAGTCCACTATTTGTGAATCTCCCACACATTTTTTTAATGGGTTTTGTTTCACAAACCTCTCCAGGGTGTGGTTATCCCTATTGCTTGTACACTTTTTTTTTTTTTTTTTTTTACCACATCTTTTCCTTCCCTTCACCTCTTTATTGATGTGCTTGGACACAGAGCTCTGTGAACAGCCAGCCTCTTCAGCAATGGCCTTTTGTGTCTTGTCCTCCTTGTGCAAGGTGTCAATGGTCGTCTTTTGGAGAACTGTCAGGTCAGCAGTCTTCCCCATGATTGTGTAGCCTACAGAACTAGACTGAGGGACCATTTAAAGGCCTTTGCACGTGTTTTGAGTTAATTAGCAGATTAGAGTGTGGCATCAGGTGTCTTCAATATTGAACCGTTCCACAATATTCTAATTTTCTGAGATACTGAATTTAGGATTTTCATTAGTATTCAGGTATAATCATCAAAATTAAGAGACATAAGCATTTGAAATCTATCAGTCTGTGTGTAACGAATGAATATAATATACAAGTTCCAGTTTTTGAATGGAATTACTGAAATAAATAAACTTTTTCATGATAATCTAGTTATATGACCAGCACCTGTATATCCATACCTGCTTTGTATTATAAAAGGCATGGTGTGAGAGCAGCACTTGCGAGTGGAGCCATTTCTCTCTTCAGTATGTGTAAACTTAGAGGATTGCTGGTGAACAAGTTCATGTCTGATTGACACTTAACTGTCTTATGCAGTGTTAAGTATTTTTTGTAAGAGGGAAGTGTGGTGTTTCATAAATAAAAAGGAAAAAAAAAATTGCGTTATTTGTCTCAAAATGGGCAATTACGAATGAAGTGGTACCTTAGCAGCAGTGAAATTGATGGCCATGCTGTTTAATGTATGAAATGTTTATTTTTACCTTTTACCACAAGTAATAAGTAAAAATTGTTTAATAATTTTATTTAGGAAGACAAGTTCTACTTCCATTGTGTTCTTTTCTCAAAGAGTTTAATATATGAGTGTAAGAAGCTCTTTAAAGGTTGAGTATGGGATTTTAATTCAATACACGTGTTAGATTAAGTGATTACCTCCTCAACAGTCCGCTAGCTGTCTGTTCTATATACGTTCTGAAAAAAAATGTTCTTACACAGCCCCGACTCTATAAATAGAAAACAAAGAAAGTGGCTCAGACTGATCCATGCAACACGAAGACTGATTTGTAATTTCTGTTTTCACAAGGGTCTATGTGATATAAATTTCACCATCTACCCAAGTCTGTCAGAGTCTGCACGGAACAAAATTTGTGATCAGGCTGACTGTACATTCAACAATAAAACAAGTAGTGTGCACATGCTTGTTTTATGGAGATGCTGTGCAAAGAGATTTCCTTTCAGCTGCACATTTAAAACCCATCATTAGAAGAGTTGTATTTGAAGTAGTGACTGCTGGACTTTGGTAATGGTTTGATATGTACATGCTTTTCAGTGACTTTGACTGAAGTTCCAATTTCTACAGAAATCCTATGCTATGTCGATAGACTGTGTTTGGGACAGGAATGCAACAAACTCTGCAGACCAATGCAGATGGATGTATATTTAATATGTATGGAACTGTGTCTGTGTTCAAAGTCCACATGGTTAGTGTGTGGGGATGCAGGAAACATGAACTCACCCACTGTAGTGTAAGCCTGTGATTAAGCATTGATTATATTCTCTTGCGGATGAGCAGATGAGTATTTTTTTTACATTACTACTTTGTAGTCTGCTTGGAGGGCGTATTGCAGAATTGTACAGTAGATGTGCATTTATGTATTCCACACATGCACACTTCTGCCCTTGTAGAGTAGTGGCAAACTACCCCACCAGGACGCGAACTGGTGACCTTCTTGATGCAAGGCAACAGTGCTACCAACTATGCCACCTTACAGCCCAAAATCCGTGAAGTGATCCGCACAGATTTGGGCGGAAAGTAAAACACTGCCCTTATAGGCCCTGATGTTTATATGTCTGAATTATACTTTCTCAAATGTTTTGGAGTATGAATTTCATACATACACAGGGGTCTCTGTGGACTGTTGGGGTAGACAGTGGAATGGAATTTATGCCATACAGCCCACCCTTGGGCCCTTGCATACACTGTATACTTTCTGCCTTAAATTCACATTGATTTGCAATTATAGCATAGAAATATATTACCAAAGTCCCCCCCAAGACCCAGTGAGGATACACCTGTGTATGTGAGAATACACCTGACTGGGTCTGATGTGGATGTCTTTTTGGCACAGTAATAGTGTAAAAGGGGTGTAATACACAGCTGGAATATACAATATTGCCTCAGTTATTTAAGATAATAAAAGGTGCAAACTTTATGGCCATACATGTTTGTGTAGTGCCTCAATCATGACTTCATGTTGACAAATGGAAACAGCTGCAAACATGTGATTATTATATCAACAACAACATTTTTCTGCATTTAGCACAGCTCTGCTGTTGTCCCATTTCATGTTGTCATATAGTTGGCACAGTGAATTAACTGTAGGCAAGTGCTTTCAAAAATACAGTCTCTTGAAAATTTTTCTTTGAAATTTTGTGCGAGGACAGAAAAAATCCACCTCTTCACTGGGAAAAGGCAATTTTTATGTATTGCATGATACTGTAATCTGTAATGTTTTTTTGCTTTGAACATATACTATTATTGATTATTGCAGCCTTTCTAAATATCATACTTTTGACAGACATATTTCAAGAGCATGAAAATATGATCTATAACCTTTATGTTTTGGTATTTTAATAATGTAACAATTGTTTTTACACATGGGTTAACATCTGTCCTGACTGTAGACAACAAGCTGACAATTAAGTCCCAATTTAATCACTCCTATTTCTATTTTACATATTCAGTCATAGTCACCCATATTAATGAGGAAGCCTAGTTATGAACGACAGTATTCCCGCTATTACAAACTGTTAAAACATTACATCTAAAGTATATCGGTTTCAAATGTTTGGTTGTCAGCCTCCCCTGATTAACAATAATTGATACTGGTATTGGTCAAACCCTGCACTAAACAGTCTGATGAGTACAAAGATGATGCAAGTCACATGCCATGTCGTTTCATGTAATTTTTGACCAGCAGTTAAACTAAAGTGTCTATTATAGGTGAGTAAATGAGGAAACCCCAATTAACTAAATGGGTTCAAAGTGAAAGAAAAAAATACATTTCAAAGTTGCATTAATTTAAAACCCTGATTGCTTTATTTAAAATATGCACACATAACAAATCTCCTACAGAACTATACTGAACAGTACAATCACTTTCTGTAATAACACGTTTAAAATGTAAAATGGTCTCTGGCAGAAACTGCCTGCAAGCAAACATAGTTCCTACTTTGGCTTCTTTTAGCTGGAAGAGAAATGAAGAAAGCCTGAAATACTTAAACAAATGTAAACAAATGAAAAAGGGCCACAGAAAAAGAAAGTAGAACACCACAGCTGTGACTGACTTAACTCTGTGAGAAACATCTATTGTTGTGCATCACGTGTGTGTTCTGTGATGAAAATGGTGAAGCTAGTGATAGCTGCAGTGGTGTCTAACCAGATAAACAGAGTTCCCACAGTCCTGCAGTATTTGTTGAGGACTGGAAATGTTTGATAAAAAGAATCCTCATTCTAATTAACTTGTAAACAGAATATATAGAAGCAGTTTGGACAAAAATAAATACATGCTGAAATGCAATTTTGGCTGCACTGAAGTTTGTGAATCCTAAAACTAATTTTCAGTGTTAACATAAAATAGAAAGTGTACATTTGCAACTGCTAACAGGTGTGCAATAAAAAATGTGGTGTGAAGCTCTTAAAAAGCAGCTGAAACCTTTTAGAATTTGACAGTGAATAGAACAACAATGGGAACCCTTAAAAACACACATCATCATGTTTGCCATTTGTACACAGCCCCATAATACATGCCATAACATACAAATATACAGCACATATTACATAGAACAACGCATCCAGCAAGATTGTTCTTGCGACTCTCTGAAAACACTTTTATATTTCATAATTACGTTATGTTACACTTGTGTACATATGTGTCACACACTGACTGTTGAAGACACTGTCATCATTTTGTTACTGTGTCCCTCCAACTCACCGGTGAAGTGTAAATAAAGGATGAAGGATACATAAAGGATCAGGCTGGTAATTTTCTGTTTTTGTCTTTTAATTGTGTTTTAACATTTACTGATCAATAAAATGAATGCATTCTAACAAGGGCAACAAAGCTGTAGATATGACATTCCTCTAACGCAAAGAGGCTCACTTTTGTCCAGAAGACCTAAAAAAAAAAAAGTCATACTATAGCATGTTGGTCCTAAAAAAAAAAAAGTCATACTATAGCATGTTGGTCCTAAAAAAAAAAAAGTCATGAACTCCAACATTTTCTTTTTGTCCCAGTCCCACATACACCATCCTGCTGCCCTAAACACTTACAAGGGCACCAAATGTGGACTCATCCATCACTGAAAAAAAATCTCCAACAAATGCATGTCCTCCAAGATCATCATCTTCAGCAAGCCATAGAGCAGGGAAGTCAGTTTCATTGGATTTTTTGTCTATATGAAATGTGTATTTTAACTAAAAAAAACACACAAAAAACACACAAAACTTAACATATAAACTAAACTAACTACACCAAAGCAAAAATATATTGGTAGAGACAGCAGTAACCTGCAACAAGGTACAAAACAAACAGTGCAGAAAGGAAACTGATGCACAAGGAAAGCTACACTTTGTAATTTATATGAGAAAGGTAGGGGTCCACAGATAATCCCTTGAACTCTACAGGTTTGCATACACTAGCTGCTGTATGCTTTCAGAAGGCAACAAACCACTCAATACATTTCAACAGTTATAGCACTGCAAGTGTAAAACATGGGTAAGGAATCAAAATGCCATCTCGTGCAATCCTACGCAACATGCTCATCAGATACTACTCTTTCTCTGGATATAAGCAGGAAAGGTAAAGAGAGAAAAAAAATATGAAAGGTATTCTGCTTTTAATAAAAAGACAAGATAACATAAATTTTTCCGGTCAGAAGTTACTCCTCAAGTCGATGTTATATCCATCAAATGTTCCTACAAGTAGACTCTCCTAAGAATGTTCAGGAGGTAAATAAGGAAAAAAAGCTGCAGCCTCTTTATATGAGCAGCTCAGACAGGGGACTGAAGATAACACACACCCTCCATCAGGTACTGCTACATCACAGCCTAGCACTACTCATGAATAAATAACCTAGCTGATAATAAATAACAGGACATGAGTGGTCCTGTACAGTGCTGAGGGAACAGGTCCAGACAGGAGGAGGAGTTGAGTCAGATACTTGACGTCCTGGAGCCCAGCTTCACTGGGACAACTGTTCTCTCAATAATTTGAATGAGTTTAACATCTCTGTGTGAGATCCTGACTTCTGGCCACACCTCCAGGAAGTAGCCGCCCATATCACCGAAACTTCCCCCGCGTCATCCATTCAAGTGTCTACAGAGTCTTAATGCTTGTCAGGTTGACAGCAGTAGCAGATCATCAGCTATCCATGCTGCAACATTCTGATGGGAAAGTAAAGACCACAGGTTGTCATCCGTGTCACCAGAAGCTATGCTTGGACCTCATCATTGTTTTTGTTTTGTTTTGTTTTGTTTTATTAGTCAGGACACTACAATAAACCAGACCAATTGCACAAATGATAAAAGATTTTTTTTTGCTGTCAATGATTGAAAATAAATCACTTGTGTCACATGGAGTCACAACCAATTACCATTTCTTTTTAACAGGAGCATCACAACAATGATTGGTGTTTAATTTGGTACATACACTGAATTTTCACTTTAAAAGGCAGTCTAATCTAGCAACTCTGCTCCAACTCCTCCCATCATCAAGTTTAAATATTAAGTTACTGTAAGTGCTGAGTCAACTCTATGGCAATTTTGGAGTCTGTAGTTTGTGCAACTGTAGTGTTTTACTGAGAAGTTATTCTAAGATTTAGTCTACCCTCAGTGATAGAGAGAGGATAGAAAAAATAGGAGAAACAACTAGCTGGATAGCAGATGTTGGTAAGAATCCCTCCATCTTTAATCGGTCTTGCTGGCATTAACAGTATGGCTGAAATAAACATTGGATTTAAAATTTAAAAAACAAAACACACACACACACACACACACACATATATATGTCACATTTATCCGTTTAAAATTGTAGAATGGTGGTGAAACTGTCAACAAAGAAATATGTGTGAATTTAGAGAGTTTAAATCTAGATGCACCCTCACAGAGCAGTTTGACTGTGTGTACTGAGCTGATGACTTGCACAGATCTGAAAATTTGGAAATGCAAACACAAGTATGGTAATGCAAACACAAACCCTCTAAAGCATTCTGAAACTTCACTAGTAAAAAGCTGAGCATCTCCATAAAAACCTAGTCCTGTAAGGTAACACTCGAAGGTCCATTCATTGACATTTCTCCTATTTTCATTATTCTTATTCAAAGATTTATTTATTTAGTTTCCTCTTAAATGTGACTAACCACACAAGGCACATATTCTAAAGTAAAGTTAATTTTCCAATTGCATCTAAGGTGCTAATTTTACTCTATTTCAAGAGTGGTGAGAGAAGTATTTAAATCCTAAGATTAAGTACAAATATGGAAGTGCAAAAAATGCTATTACATGTTAAAGTCCTGTATAATAAATCTGTCTTATATAAAAGGTTCAAAAGTATTGGGAGCAAAATGTATTTAACAGCTTAAAATAAAAGTCCCGGTTTGGTCACTCTGATTATTATATATGTGACATCAATTGATCATTCATACTATATAATACTAAAAATGCATCAATGTGTCAGTAGCATGTTACTGTTGTAGCTGCTGCAGGTGTCTGATTAATGTGACAGGTAAAGAAGAAAAACATAAGTTTTGATACACAAATCTTTTTCAGCTCTTAAACCAGTCTCTAATTTTAGTGAGATATTTGATCATTAGAACATTTACTGAAAAGAAATCATGTGAGAAGTGTTACTGGTACAGTTTGGTGAAGCTTTAACAACTCATAGACATCTGGAATGTGACATAAAATGCACACTACTTTTTAAAAGAAACCAGAAAGTTAGGAAACCATGGGTTTAATCTGTAAAAAAAAAATTGTTCCATCACCAATTGTGTAAAATCCTCATCCTGAAAGTAACTAAAGCTGTCAGACAAATGTAGTGCAGTAGCAAACTACAAAATTCTCCTCTGTGATGTAATGGAAGTAGCATAAAATAATGCAACAATGTTGCACATTAAAGTAACATCCACATGAATTCTCTGACTCAGTATTTTAAGCTCAATTTTGCTCAGAGCATTGCTCTGCCTCCACCAGCTTGTCTGTTTCCCAAAGTGCATTCTTCTGCCATCTCTTTGCCATGTGAACAACACACGCAAAGAAAATAGGATATATCAGACCGGTCCACCTTCATCCATTATTCCATGTTCCAGTTTTGACACTCACTATTTTACATGCTTTAGGCAATGCGCAGGGGTCAGCACAGGCACTTGACTGGTCTGTGGCAATGCAGCCCCATTTGCAATCTTTTTATGATAGTCAGCATTAAGGTTTTCTGCAATGTGTGCCACAGTCTTCTGTGGTATTGGATCACATGGGCCAGCCTTCATTCCTCTATGCAAATCAATGAACCTTGGCTGCCCATGACCCTGTTGCTGTCCCATCGGTTTTTGTAGGTGCAAACAGGAAGCTACCAACATTAGTTGCCATTCTGGAGATGCTTTGGTAATGACCAAATTGTGATAGCTAGATGACTTGGTCAAAATCACTGAGATCCCTACGCTTGCCCATTTTTCCTGCTTCCAACACGTCAACTTCAAGAACTGACACTCCACTTGCTGCCAAATATATCTCACTTTGACAGGTGCCATTGTAACGTCATTTCACCTGTCAACAGTTTTAATGCTGTGGCTGATCAGTGTATATGAACTGTTGAAAGCAATGTCTCAAAGATAATCCAGCAAACACAACAGTGAGAGAAATGTGTACCCTTCGCTCTTTTGATTTCACACACTCATTTCACACACAACTTTCAAATGCTTTCCTAACAACTACACATACTAATTTTAGTGTGCATACCATTAAGCCCTTCTGCATCCTGGACATCCAGGAATGGGGCAGGCCCCCAGATTCGGACAGTTCCGTCGTCTGAGGCACTAGCCAGCAGTCCAGGCAGGACAGGGTTCCAGCTCACACAGTTGACTGTTCGGGTGTGACCAGTCAGCTCTGCGATAGGCAGCTCACTGCGCCGGTGCCAGATGTAAACTTTGTGATCTGATAGGGAACAGGACATTTTATCAACAACTACCAGTTTACTTTTCAATTTGTCTGTTGTCTAAGTCAAGAAAGGAGTTGGGCTGAAGTAAACATCATCTTGTCTTGCCTTCACTGCCACTAGCAATAAAGTCCTCATTGTGTCCCCCAAAGCATGAATGGATGGTGTAGAAGCCCTGGGTCACCCCTTGGTACTTCCTCACCAGCACACGGTCCTGCAGGTCCCACAGGTGCACTCCCTTCGAACGCATAGCATTTACCAAGATACACACATAAAATTTGACTGGTACTTTAGCAAGTAGCTGAGGTTCAAATGAAAGAAAAGAACATCATAGTGTGAAATGTTTGGAAGCAACAAGCTGCTCACCTGAGTAGCAACATTGAGCAGAGCTAATCTTCCACTTTTTGAAACAGTGAAAGACATGATGGGATGGTCCTCCTGTACTCTAGAATGACAACGCAAAAGAGGATCCACAGGGGAAGCAATTAATTCAATTCAATTCAATTCAATTCAATTCAATTCAATTCAATTCAATTCATAAGCTTCAGCAGTCCGCAAGCAGTCCGCAAGCAGTCCGCAAGCGAAAACCCCGACAGGGGAAAAAAAACCTCCGACAGAACCAGGCTCAGGGAGGGACGGCCATCTGCCTCGACCGGTTGGGTGGATGTAGGATGAATTATAAAATTTAGTTTACACTTAAACAAGTTATTACTGCTTCAAGACAGGAGAAAAATTAAGTATGTCGGCAGGTGAAGCATATCACACATCAACTGTGTGTGTGCGTGTGTGTGTGTGTGTGTGTGTGTGTGTGTGTGTGTGATGTGATCCAATCAATTAACCAGGCATGGGGAAAATAACAAATACATATCTGCGGAAAGGTATGAGTGTCACTGTTCATTTCCTAGCTAGGGCATGTTGCTGTTTGTTTCATTCACACCATTGTTTAATACCATTGTCACTTGACATCATCTTTCTGTGAGGAAATGACGAAAGATAAATGTTTTCTCATCTGCTAGAATTTTAATCTCTGTCTGTTGATGTTTGTGGAAACCCTGATATTTTGGGGTGATGTGTTGGAAAAATGTTGAAAGATGTGTTTGATGCATGAATACCATGCTCCATGGTCCCTTTTTGTTTCATCAACATAATTTACAGAGTTAATGATTATTAATTTTTATTTTTTAAAACTGTGAATCCTTGCAAAATGGTTGAAGATACAAATCACAATTCTTATAATTTTTTTTTTTTTTTTTAACCCTACCCAAAAGTCTTACAGTAATTGTGTAATAAACAAAAACAGTTGCAGAGATTTTGGAGGCTGAAGCTGGCACAGGCAAACCAACATCATAAAAGTCATATTCATTTTGTGCAGACACACTTCTAGAAATACCAGAGAAAGGTTTCTTCACCCAGTCAGGGTAGTTACTCACATGTTTCTGTCTGTCAGGTCCTCAAAATTGTATCCCCGGATGCGTTGGTGGGTGTCTGATGCGAGGACGGTCCGGCCGTCAGTCAGACACCACAGGCACTGCACCCGTACTCCTTCCCATGAATCCAGCAGGTTTCCATCCAAATCCTGGGAGATATGAGTTAACTTTTTTTTTTTTCCAATCAACACCAGATTGCTGAAGGGAAATCCAAGACTATGAGCAGCAGCTGGTGTATGTGTGTAATGCGACCCATTTAAATGGCCAGGCGTAAGAGCGTTGTGAGGTGAGCTCACAGTGATGTTGACCTTTGACCACATCAATTGAGTCAGTCTCTGCTAGATTTGAAGAGATAACGTGTTCACAGGAATGCTAAAATGCTTCCAGTCTTGGCTGTTGCCGACACCAGCATGATAGAGAGCATGATATAAACACACTGTAGGTAATGGTCAGAGCCTGATGATGTGGCTATTACAGATACTCACACACTGGTAGAATTGGCCTCGCTGGCCACCAGTGACGAAGCGTTTGCCATCTGGATTCCAAGCCACACTGGTAAGGCTATCCTCATGAGATTGACTCATCTTTGTTCGCAGTTCCCCCGTCTACACAGCAAAGCCAAAAGGAGAGAGAAAAATGGTTGAAAAGATTAGAGACTACACATTTACCAAACTTTTTTTTTTTCTCTCATTGGCTAGTATGCTCTTCTGTCTGGTCTGAGTGGGTTTGGAGAAGATTGAAGTTAATGAGAGTACAGTATGTCTCAAATCACAGGGTAAGGTGTCTTTTACATGAAAGTTGACTGGAGGAGAAGCAACATGGTCATTTTGGCAAGGCTTAGTAGCTGGCCTTGTTTGAAGTTACACAAGTCAATGTTTAGGTTTTAACATGAAAGGAGTCAAGTGTAGTTACAAACTCAGTGTCATCCCCAACTATATTAGCTAATTGTTTAGTAGCTATGTACACAGCCTGCTAAGCACCTGCAATCACATATCCTATACACATTGGTGTGTATAATGCCATTATCACCAAAAGAAACAGTGAACAAAACCGCAAAAATAAGTACCAATAAACCAAAATTAACTTAAAAACTAGATTCATATTTTTAAAATATGTATCCTTTCAAACGGCACAGATGGTAAAGTGGGTTGTCCACCAGTCGCAAGGTTGGTGGATTGAACCCCAGCCCCTCCACACAGGTCCAAGTGTCCACAGTGTCAGTGGGGAAACACTGAACCCCTAGTTGCTCACAGTGGCAGCTCTACCATGACACACACGCAAAGCTCTGTGTGAGTGCGTGTGCATAAAGAACACATTGAAAAGCGTTTTGCCAACCATAGCTACCCAGTGCTTTGTCAGATAGATAGATAAATAGCTAGATAGATAAATAAAAGAAAATGAATAGGTTGTGCACAATGCATTCTACATGTGCTATACATAACAAAGTATTGTAGGCATTTGGTAATCAAATCAAATCCAATCAAGTTTATTGTCATTTTGCTGTACATACACAGTAGTACAGGCAAGATGAGAGAGCGTTTCTTCAGGATCATTTAATTAGTAAGTTTTGCGGAATGAACGTCTGGGATAGGCAAGACACTAAACGTTCACTCTCGCTGTCTCCTGAAGGGGCCGCTGCGTCCATGTGCACCGCCATTCATTGAACATGGCAAACCTCTTCAGGTCCTGGTAGGTCTTCAGGGATACAAAGACACACACGATAGTGTGATGATGGTGAAGCCGCAGATGCTGCCAGAGCTAGCTATCTGTCTGTTCACCTGGAACGATGTCGTCTCCTTCAGCTGTATGGCCGTCTGGGATGTTGTCACGGAGCCATGTTTCTGTTAAAGCAAACACACAGCAGTCTTTCCACTCTCTGTAGGTTTCTCTCAGCAAAAATAGCTCGTCCAGCTTGTTGTCGAGGGAGCTGACATTGGAGAGTAAGAGCGACGGTCCTGATGGTCTGGAGGGGTTAGCCTTTAGCCTAGCATGGATCCTCTCTTCCTCCACCTTTGTTTACGTTTGCACTGTTTGCGCAAAGTCTCCCGGCCGCAACTTTTGCGGAATGAACATCTGGGATAGGCAAGACACTCAAAACGTTCACTTTCATTGTCTCCTGAAGGGGCCGCTGTGTCTATGCGTGCCTCCATCGCCATGGCAACTAATATTGAAGTATTGTAATATGTCAGTGAATTCAGGGAAATAAGAGGTCTTCACAAGCCTGTAGTGTCTGAGAGAAATAAACAACCCTAACTAAAAATCACAGATGATAATCCTAGCTACCTTGACAGGGCTGTGATCAGTAGTCTGCTGCTGATTTATTCTCATCACACAACTTACTGCAGCTGTAATTCAGTTACTTTGTTGTTATTTTTACTTGCTTATTTTTTCTGAATGTAGAACAAATTTCTGTCAGACGGGAAGGGGGGGCTACTGAGCAGCTGACATGCATGTCTCCTCTGCACCTGTGAGACACGTGTCTGTGTTGTACCTGTATATTCCACAGCCACAGCTCAGAGCAGTCGTCAGGACCACAGGCTATCAGATAGTTATCATCAGGGCTCCATGCCAGGTAAGAAACTCCATAAGCATGACCCTCCAGAGTCTTTATCAACTTTAGCTGCTGGGTTTCCTGTCAGCAACACACAAACCAAGTAATAGTCCAGTTATTTCAACTTTGACACACACTGACTCATTTCTCCTGTAGTAGAGAAGTAAAGTAGAAATCTTGATAAGTAAATGATTGATCACCATGTCGACTTGCCAAACAATGACTGTGGTATCTTTGGACCCAGTTGCCAGTTTTGTGCCATTATTGGAGAACTTGCAGAACCAGACTTCATTGCAGTGTTCAGTAAGAATCTGCTGTGTGTAGCAAGGGAACTGCTTCCTACAGTTTAGGAACACATATATTAGTTAGAAAGGTAATGCATATAAAACTCAATAGCAATTATGGCTAGAAACATTGGTCTGATGTAAAAATGTGATCTCTTTCTCAAGCTAAATATGTCAACATAAACATTACTTATTCTCACATAATGCAAAATACAGAGTGTTCACTGAATTGATGGGTGCTTCCAACAAGACAGGAATACCATTCTATGAGACAGTGTGTATAGTGCCACTCTTGTAAATGTCAAAACTTGATTCTTTTAAAGCATAGAATAGTCTCATCAGCCTGGGTGGAGATCTGGTGCTTTACTGTATGCGTGGGTTCTTACCGGCTGCAGGCGTGATCTAGCAGCAGAGACACAGAATCTAGACCACTGTCCAGTTTGGTGTTGTGGTAGAGACAGCGCTCCCTCTGCAGCTCCACTGCCTGCTTCAACAGAGTTTGCAGGCGGCGAGGAGGCAGCATCACTGATGGGGGCAAGTATGCTGCACATAAACACACAGAGCACATACCAACAAACTGCAGTAATGAACAAAGAAGTGTGAAATCAACCAGTAAAGCATGGTTGTTTATCATTACTAGTACATGGTAGGTTCACTTTTAGCAATTTTGTTTTGAACTCCTATTTACAGGAAGTGAATCAGACAATCAACTTGCTTGATGTGCAGATCCACAAAATGCTGTGTTGATATTTAAGTGTCTGTCTCCTCCTGTGTGAGCCTCTGAGATCTACAGTTACTCATAACACCTTTTTTGACTTTTATGTTTATCTGTGGAGAAGAATTCTAGCCAAATGCTAAACTGTCAAGATAGTATATGTATCAAAAGATATAGACACATGGAAAAAATTGTTGGAACCCCTCAGTTAATGAAAGAAAACCCACAATGGTCACAGAAATAACTTGAATCTGACAAAAGTAATAAGAAATAAAAATTCTACGAAAATTAACCAATGCAAATCAGACATTGCTTTTAAACCGTGGTTCACAGAATTATTCTTAAAAATAGACTCATGAAACAGGCCTGGACAAAAATGATGGTACCCCTGGAAAAGACTGAAAATTATGTGACCATAGGGACATGTTCAATCAAGGTGTGTCCTCTAACCTGTCCGTCTACAAACTTGTAATCCATGGTTCAAAAGCAATGTCTGATCTTCATTGGTTTATTTTCATAGAATTTTTATTTATTTGTCAGATTCAAGTTATTTCTGTGACTATTGTGGGTTTTTCTTTCATTAAGTGAGGGGTACCAACAATTTTGTCCATGTGTGCATGAGGTGCTTCCAGTCTGTGTTACAAGGTGTAAATATTAATCAAGCCAATAGGAAACTGTTGAACAACTACTTTTCTAAGGACAGTTTACATTTTCAGATTTTTTTTTTCCTTTGGTATAATCTATTCAAAGAAAAATGAGTTTAGTAAAGTAAAGTTTAGTAAATGGCTGCATGTCAGTGACCTAAAACTTTCAATGATGTACATTAAAAGGATGATAATGCACATTATTATTCGGGTTAGACTGACATACTACTAAATTTGTATAGTGTGAGATGCAACTCATTGATTTTTGGGGGGAAAATGATCAAAAATCTGATTTTAATGCATTTACTAAAGATGATCATAAAGTGTTCATATGATCCAACGAAATCATATCTACATGTAATGAGATAAAAGAGAAACAACATTACTATACATCCAAATTACTCAAAGCTGTTACTGCCTACATGTCAGTGTAAAGATATACAGTATGTGGCCATAACAGTATTTACTATGAACAGCAGGGACAAGTTCGGGGTGTGAATTTTACTGAACTCACTCTGGAGCTTGTCCAACAGCTTTGTCCGGGATACAGTGCCTTTGCCTTCCCATTCAGCTTTGGCTCGCAGGTCCTCTGCATGACTGCACATCAGGTACCTTCAAAACACAACAGCATTTTCAGTGACTATCAGACACAAGCACATCTGCTTTCACAATGACCTTACACAAATATCTGTATTGGTAAGAGTATCAATTTCAGCTTTTTCTTTCAGTCTTACAAACTCTTCCATCACAATACCTACATCAAAAACAAGGGTTGTTGTTGTTTTGAGCGCAGCTTTTACTGGGATTTTTTTCTATCAAAAGTATGCAAGCACTACTGAAGATTATACTTGTTTAATTTGCACTCTCTCAAGCCTCTTTTCAGCTGACTTGTTTTCATCAGCTCTCCTGTGAGCAACAGAGCAGCTGAAGAGCTGGGAGTGCAATCTGTCTTCACCCAGTTGAGGAACATCAAAAATTTACTGCATAAAAATACTTTACAGAAGAAGAGCACACATTGCATCTGTTCCAAAGTTGTTACACTGGTGTCCTGGTTGTCTTTTTTTTCATTATTCAATTAATTCTCCTTTTCTTTTTAATCTATTACGGTCTTATATTTATTTTCATTTACAATCAACCTGTTCTTTAGTATTTTTCTTCTATTTTGGCGTGTTTTAGTTTCCAATTCCATATTTACCATCTTGTACAAACACTTAGTGAAAACTTTGCATTGCATTTGACTTGTATAAAAGGTACTATAAAAATATAATTTGACTAATATTGTGAAATGGAAAGCTCCTATTGAAAAGACAGCTTGTGTAGACAAAAAAAAAAAAATACTTGCAGCATAAAAACAACAAAGGGGGTCCGCTGCACATGTTGTGCATGTCTTGGAGTTTGTGCCGTTGTGTGATAATCTTGTTTCAGAGGGTTCCACACACTGAAATATGTATATTCTGAAAGACGCACTACAAAATCTGGATTTTGCCAGCCATGTCTCACATATTTCACACTTTAGGTAGTGTAGACAACTTCTTTGTGTAAATAACTTTGTTTATTTATCAACATTCTGGAGTTACACTCTGGTTCCCTGTCTGCTGATAAACTGACCCGCTGAGGATGTGGATACGCTCTGTGTTATACTTGAGAGGAGTGAGTTCAGCTCTGAGGACCTGCAGAGCCTCCAAGACCTTCCCATCCTCCAGATACTCCAGATATTTCTGCTGCAGCAGCAGGAACTTCATCCGCTGTACAGGAACACAAGAAGAGTACAAGTCAAAAAATAACCAATGACATTAGTCATCATGATGCAGGTTGCGTGTCGTGCAACATTTGAACATATGAGGTGTGTCAGAAAAGTTTCAGGACTGATGTCACAAAAGATATATTTCAAATACAAACTACAAACTACAAGTTTTCCCCTTTGAAGTAATCTCCCTGGAGTCTAACGCACTTTCCCAGCCATCTCTGCCACGCCGCCATACACTCCTGGAAGAAATCTTCCAGGATCCTCTGCAGTTCCGTCGTCACAGCCATATTGATGTCACCACGTCTTCAAAACAGGTCCCCTTGATGACCCCTTTGAGCTTGGGGAAGAGGAAAAAAATCACACTGAGCCAGGTCAGGTGAGTAGGGAGGTTGCTCCAGCACGGTGATGTTCTTCTCAGCCAGAAACTGTCGGATGCTCAGGGCATTGTGAGCAGGTGTATTGTCATGGTGAAGCAGCCACAACTTGTCCTGCCACAACTCTTGCCTCTTCTCGCACACTGAATGAAGCAAATGCCGCAGGATCTCTTTGTAGACGTGCTGATTGATCGTCTGAAGGGGAAAACTTATAGTTTTGGTTTGAAATATATGTTGTTACACTTAGAAACAACAGATTCAATCCAGATTGAATCTGTTGTTTGTCAGTGTAACAAGACTTAAGCTGATTTAAGAAAGCTCTAACTTGGGGTACTTATTCTACCAAGTTGAAAATGTGGTGATGGAAAGCACTGTCAATGTTACATTTTTGCAATATTTTGTTTATTTTAATATTGCCGTATCTTTGAAGTGATTGGCTGTTTTGATTAACTGCCTTTGGGATAGAAACTGGATTTGCCCTGTTTGTGATAGCTGCCTAGAACTTTGTGATGAATAGTGACATTATAAATACACCTCGGACTAGGCAAATTGTGAAATCAAAACCAGATTGTAAAATAAGCCATGCAATTTGCTGTGAAGCAAAATGAAAATTTTCTAAGAATGATGAGTTGAGCTTTAGCTATGTATTGGATTACTTAAAAATTTCATGGTTATACTGTTGTATTTGTTAAGCGGAAAATATTTATTTTATTTTATTTTAGAATTCTGGGCTTCATAAGAAAGCAAATTCTTCTTGACAACAACCTACAGCTGCACAATATCTGAACTTCTACCTGCCACGAACAACACTTTCTTGTGTAAAAATCCAATTCTAAAACACTTGTGTTTACATGTAAAAAGTTATTACTGTATGATGTGTTTCGTCAAATTCTCATGGAATACAAAACTCTGGGTAAGCTAAGATCACAATTTTATGTTTTTTATCTGTCTTGCGTATTTCATCTCAAGATAAACTGTATAGCCCACGTGAATACACTAAAAGTAACACATCAAGAATACACTAGTCGTAACCAAATCAGTGAGTTGCTTTGATCATTCGATCTGTTGAATGATTTACAGATTTAGATTGCTTGATGTATTTTCTTGCTACTGCAGACAATAACTACTCACTAAAATACAGATTTTAGTTAAGCCCTGTTTTTCCTGTGACTGCTTTAGTTGCTTTTCTGCGAAGCTGCTTGATGGTTTCCCTGTCTTATTCTGTAGCCCTGAGATAAATGTTTGTAAACATTTTGTCACATTAACAGGTGCTGTGTTGTGTATTAAATTCTGATTTCAAATGAGACAACACAGTATTAGAAATATTACCCGTCAATGGTCTGAAGTTTGTTAGGCTTCCCACTTACCACTATAGCACTTGGAGAATGCATCAATGCCTTCAGCTCATTCAGGTCACTCTCAGCCTGTATAAAGAGAGAAAAAACATCCATTCACAAACTCCTGCATGTTTTGCCAGTCAGAAACTAATACTAATAGATGAGCAAAGAACTCAAGCAATTTTTTAAGCAAATTAAATCCACATGATGTCCTCTCCTTGCCCTAAATACAGTTAATTGAACGATGTAAAACAAACAAACAAAACAAAAAAACAAAAGAAGAAGAAAAAAAAAAAAAACCCTAGGAGTTTTTATATGTTTTTCAGTCCCACCTTGTCCCACTCTCCTTCAATAACGTGATTGCGGAACTTGGTGGCAGATGGGTGCTCCAGTCTGCAGCCTGATTCCTGCATGAGAAGGTCCACTGTCTGACTGTAAAATATGTACAAGAGAAATGTATTCACATCATAAGCAACAACAGTGGAAGACATTATCTCACTCATTTGTACCTCCTGTTTTAAAAGAAGTGCTAAAAGATGAGGACTACAGGTGGGTGTGGGTGGAGTAAAAACAGATTAATCAATAATGAACATAGACTTTTTTTTTCCTCTTACAAATCTTGCTTGTAATGATTAGCATTGCATTATACTGTATGGAGCATGACTATGTCCCTGCTGACATGGGGCAAAAGGCAGGATACACCCTGGACAGGTCACCAGTCTATCACAGGGCTACACAGAGAGACAGACAAGACACATTCACACCTATGGACAATTTAGAATCACCAATTAACCTCACTATGTTTTTGGACTGTGTGGGAGGAAGCCGGAGAACCTGGAGGTAACCCACGCTGCACAAGGAGAACATGCAAACTCCACACAGAAAGATCCCCGGTGTCCTAACTGGGACACGAACCGGGGATCTTCCAGCTGTGAGGTGACCACGAAAACAAAAACCCTTTAACAAATTAAATATTTAAGACAAATGTGATTCATCAAGCTGCATCTAATTCAAATTAGATGCTTATTCTCTCCTTCCTCAACAGCATTCTGTACGATGCGCGACTACAAGCAAATCTGTTTTAATTCCATCACAACTTCAACCTCATTCAGTACTGTGTCATTCACAAAACATTAAAAACTAATTGTCATGTTGGGATTCGCAACATGTATTCAGTTTTGTTGACTAATGTGAGCGCTTTGCTGATATCACAGCACTGCCGCAAACTGCGCGATTCTTAAATCCAGGAGGTTGGGAACGTTTTCTTTCCCGCATTTGACAGATAAAGGTCAAAGGGTTGTCATGACTATCTGATGGACGTAGTATGGTCATTGATCTGACAGCTGGCTGAGCAGGCTCCATTAGCTGGCTCACTTACTTGAGACCTAAATCGTTTAAATGTTGTCCTATCAGCCTGATGACATCCTCCTCAGACTGAGACAGACGCTTCTTCTTCTTGACGCCAGAGTTGGCATCCGACGTGCTGTTGTTGGACGTGGGCTGGGCTGAAACTCCGTTGTTGTTGCTGACAGCATTTCCATTGTTAGTGACTGACAGAAGTCCGTTTGAGTGACCTGCGCCGACGGAGGACGACTCACCATTCTGTGCACCGTTTTGGCATGACAGTTTTGAATCACGGTCCTGCCCTGCCCCGTTAGCCTGCATGTTGCCACGGTTTATACAGGTGACACGACGTATATATGAACGAATGACAGGTGCAACGGGACACTGCAGGGATGACAAAACCACCGGTACAGCCACCGATAGGCCCACTGACCCAGATGCAGCCCCGAACTGCCCTGTTCCCCCTGCGGCCGAGTCTTCGTGTTTGTTCCGCGGTGCTGGTCGCGACGATAAGCCGGTTTTCGGGGCGAAGCACTAAGAAACGAACGCAAGAGTTATTTCGACAGTTGCATTTTGTAATTATGAGTGTTGCTTGGCGTTGTCAGTAGCGTTACACCCGCGTTTAAGTTGTTGGGTAGCGCTTGTTGTTGTTGCTCACAGACAGCTGCAGCTCTGTTATGGACAGACGCAGTGACGTCAGCGGAAATTCCTTCACGTCTTTTTGTGTCAGCTACGTCACCGCGAGGGGCCGCTGTTTCTTTTTGACTGTATCTGTGCTATGTACAGCACTTTACAAGACACTGTAATTCTACATATTTAAAATTTAAGTATGGTCCTAGTTTCTGGTTATGTAGTTCCGCAATTATTCACCTTTTCTGAGTGTCCTTGCATTGTTTGCTTTGTTAAATATATGTGACTTGGCTGCTGTGAGGATTTATCATTTTGATCAGTACTCTCCCTGTCTCTGTCCCTCTCTTGAAGGGGTCTTTATTAAGGGGTTTATTTTTAATGCACCACATGCACTAATATCAAAGAAACACTCTATCTCTAATGTCAGAGTGTCAGTCTTTACATTTTACTACAGCTGAAGTGTGTTTAATCAGTTGATGATCTTGAAAGACACATCACTCAAAGTTAGTCAACCTGCAACGGATGCTGATAGATTATAGAGCTGGTAAGCAATTACAGAATCAATGCATTGAAGTTTCTACAGACATAGCAGCAGTCATGACACAGAGGGTATCTTTATTAGATTTTTTTTAATCTGTTGACCTTATGGTGACAAAAAACTGAAAGGAAAGAAGGTATACTGAGTGACAAATTCTTCAACTTAAAAACCAGGATTGGGGTCAATTACTCAGAAAAGATTAAGTAGACCTACAAGATGCCTAATTCAAACCACAAAAAATGTGAAGAGGAATAAATGTTCAGAATTAACATCAGAACAGTAAAAACCACAAGAACCACAGGATTTAACTGTTTTGTTGCTTTTGCATGCCATCAGCTGGCCTTGGTAGTTTGTGCCCTCCAAATGGACTGCCAGTGTTGTTAAGTTGGTACTCCACTCAAAAGATTACTTTGCAACCAAAACGTGGAACAGAGTTAACACGTTATTCAAAGTGCTATTATGTTCCCAATCCTAAGATTCTTTAAAAATACAATTCAGGAAACAGCCATGGTCCATGTTATGGCTTTTAGATCTAAAGCCATTTTTTAATCATTGGCACTTTCACATCTGTGTAAGAAAAAAACAAAACAAAAAAAACAAACAAACCAAAAAATCAATGTCCCTGTCATTTCCAATAAATAAATCTGACCAGTAAACACTGTCTAAGTTCTATGTACAATGAAAAGACATTCAGTCTTCTTCCCTTTAAATAGAACAAAACATTACATTATAAAAAACAATGGGAAGGAATGATTGAACCCTTCATTAAAGAGGAGAGATAAGGTTTGTTGAAGGAGAAACTATTGCACTTTAGTTTCTTTCTTAAGAGACACTAAAAGGCTTTACAATCACGAGGAAAGAACAGCCACACCTTAAATACTTTCCACAGAAAACAGTGCAGCTGTTTACTAACAGGTGTGCGCTCATTCTCCTGCATATCACTACTCCTTTGAACATCCAGAAGACAGGGAGTTATGTTTCAAGTCCCATTCAGCTGCTGTGTTGTGCCTTTTGTATCTTCACCTAAGCAGGCTGCCTAGTCAGGCCTGTGTTTTGTTTTTTTTCCTGCCCATTTTTTTCTCTTAATTTGTGAAACTCTCAAAGTTTTAGATTGCAAGGGATTTTTCCACATATTACACTGTGGTAGACAGCGTTGTAAGGGCAAAGATAGAAACTTGCTGCAGCAAGACAGCTGACTAACTATTTCTACATCAATTGTGTGGTGAGATTAGACCGCAGTGCAAGGAAAACTAAGTTTGTGTTTATTAATCAAATATGTAAATGTAAAGGCCTCATTATTAATTATTATACTGGTACAGATCATATGGTTGTACCAGGTAAAAATGGGGTCCATTAAAATGTGGTGCAGAAATCAAGGAAAGACTGTAACAAGTTCAACTTTAACTTTCACTCACTGTCACAATTTTTAGACCATGATGTCAAAGGAACATCCTAGTTTATTAGAAATTTCATCCTTTTGGGCTTTTCTAATAAGTCACTGAGCTAATTGCTGAGATCATATGCCATAGTACAATCCCTGAAACACATTAAATGAGTCAAGAAACGTGCAGTCAGATGATCAGATGCGTTGAAAATACTCCAGCAGTTTGTCCTGATAATCCAAAACATTTTATTTGGAGAATAAACCCAAAGCTAGCACTTTGCTCGTAATCATCCCTCACCAACACAGGACAGCTTACATGCAGCAAGACAAACCAGGAAGTGGGTGGATGTTTACAGCAAATAGCCTGTTTTACTGTCTGCCTTTTAAAAAAAAAAAATAAAATAAATAAATCTTTTACATAAAACTGACTAACTTTGGGTTTGTTTTCAACCTATTTGACTGTCTGACTGCTTTCGTTGGGCATATTTTCATGTCACCTTGATTTCCACATCTCAGCTCTTAACTGTGCAATGTTATTACAATCAATTTGTCACCAGAGTTACAAAAACAGTAACTCAGCATATAATAAACTGGAATTATCCTTTGACAGTGATGTGAAAGGACTGGGAGAATTTCTCCTGACTATAGAAATGAGATCCTTCAACTAAGTACTATGTACTAAGTACTAAACATGGTGATCACAGCTGTTATAGGCACTTGCATCAATTCAGTCCACGGAAAAAATGTTCCTGTCCATTTCCTAAAACATGCAATACAGACTTCTGTTATCCTTTATGTTCAACATGTTTCAAGGCACAGAAGTGTGTTGTGCCAGTTCCCAGAGTCGAGAGGAGAGCAGTACTGACCGATCTGACCTGTTCCCACATTAGAATCAAGAAAAAAAATACACTATGAGTAATTCATACATTCTTCTAGACACCCACGACCACATGAGCAGTAGCAGGTGGTAGTTCATTCTTTATTGTCACACTCTAGCCACTCATTGGTCTACTTTCAAATATTCCTCTCATCAGGGACAGAAAATCTGAACTCAGTTCAGCCTGTCAGATTTCCACACAGCCATTGTGTAAATAGAGAGCGACCTCCAGGTCTCTCTCTCTCTCTCTCTCTCTCTCTCTCTCTGTGTGTGTGTGTGTGTGAGAGAGAGAGCGTGTAATCAGTACTCTCATTTTATTTGAGAGACATTTGTTGTTTACAGACTGACTAAATATCGAACAAGGGCATGGAAACTGACAAAAGTAGCTGTTGCAACAGTTTTGTGATTTTGGACAGAGCTGAAGCACAGGCAGCTGTGTGTCAGGACTGCAGTCTGACAGATCTGCAAGCATTACTCAGCATGGAAGCTATTTTCATTTACAGGAGATGCTGCCAAGTGTTAAAGAGAACATTATTCACTTTTGTTATGTCAAAGGAGAAAACATGCTACAAGCTTCAAGTTTACTCCAATTGCTAATGAAAATCTTGTCCCCTCCTAAATATTCATGGGCTCCTTAAACTGTCAGCATAACTACATACCACAGTAGGGTAAGTAAAAAGGTCACTATTGCTATAAGAAAAAGGTTGGATTTTTGTTTTGTTTCGTACTTGTCAGGATATCTCAGACTTAAATAACTTTACTGAAATTTCAGTGATGGGTCAATGTCCAAATCACTGTGGTGCAAATGTAGATTTTCTGTTTAAAAAATAAAAAATCAATGTTAACATTGCAGCAAAGTATATGTCTTTTTTTACATTTTCAAATTTATATAAACAGCTGCTATTAGATGTTGATACAAGATGTTATCGTTCTTGTTTTGAATTTTGTTGTTCTTGAAAATGACATTCAAAATCAAACACAGCCTGTACTGGCACCTATATCTTTCTACAGATGGAGAAGAAATATTTCTTCAGTAAAGAGTAATGAGGTATGAAGTGTTTCTTTCTGCTATTTTCTGGTATCTGAGTGTTTTCAGGTAAGTGACCTCTAACTTTAAAAACTCTCTGCCTCTCTCTGGAATCACCACACAGTCGATGTGACATAAAGAGTGGGAATGTGTGTGTGCGTGCGTGCGTGTGTCTTTGTGTGTGTAGTTCTTAGCTGTCCACCACCTGGTGTGGCAGAGTGACAGAGGAGCCGTTGATAAATGAACCTTGTTTGTCTCTTCCTTTTAGAAAATAAGTGAGCAGTTCCCCTTTCCCTTTCACAAAAATGGGTCCCCTCCTCACAAAGCGGAAGTTGTACTCCTTCAGGATGTTGTAGCAGTCCTCCACCACCTGGGAGAAACACACACATGGAGAGTACATCCCAGTGCTTACAGACAGTTTATCTAAAAACAATAGGACACATTTATTTACAGTTATATATACAAAAGTGCATTTTTGATTGCTGAAAAAAATGAAATAAAGGAGCACAGAGATGTTGACAAACTACTACTAATTCTACTAAAGCACTCACTCAGCACAAAGCTGTGTTTGATAGACAGCAACATTATTATCTCAATAAAAAAAGGAAGTAGTCTCTGTCTGTGCATCTGTGTGTTCTTCACAGATCTCATCCAACCTTCTACAAAGTTGGCAGGATTGTTGCTGGGATGCAAGTGCAGTGTGCGTCTGAAGTCGTTTGAATGAGTGTTGGGCATTTTTGGGGTATTTTTGTGGTCTGTAACCTGGCTTTAAGCTGCTTTAACTGCTTGCCATTGCCTGAGAGCAACAGTGGTTTATGGTTCCCAAAGCTGTAGCCAACTTGATGTCATGATGTTATTGTTGCCTACAACATCTTATGAAAGTTATAATTTTCTCTTGCCATACCACTATGACCACTTCCACTCACATAATGCTTTAAGTCAGTAAATCCGTTGCTCATTATTAGTGCAGTTTTTGCAGTGTTTTCAGTGATTCTGAGCTTTTATAGTGGTACAACTAAAAAAGTACAGGATTATCAATAGTGTGTATGTCTACTGAGGGAAAAACAAAGGGTGGTTAATTTAATCCCCACATAAACTGTAATCAGTGTCTTTCCAAGACTTTTGTTGCCTACAGTATACAAAAAGCAACTGCTTTCATATTTATGTCATTCTAAAAACAAAATGTGTTTACAAAAATGTGTTTTTTTATGCTAAGTTTATGTTTTAATTATGTATTTTAACTGTAAAACAGGATTTTCCTGCTATAACCCATGCAGTACTGACACAGTATATACTGACACAGTATATACTTTACTTTACTTTTTTTTTTATTTCACAGAGATTGTAGGCAAACAACAAATGCATTTTCACACATTTGTTGCACAAAAACATGTAAGAAGTGAGGTGACCACTTCTAGTCATTCTATACTGACAGACATAAAAAAACGACAACAAACAAACTGAGCTAAAGCATGTCACCTAGAACATTTTAATCATCTTAATCCTACTATCAATGGTAACTATTCTGCAAGTTCTGTGAACAGTGTTAGGTTATCTAGAAGCCTGCAGTAAAACCTTGAGCTATACCTGGATGTTTCCCATCACCCCTGTGGACTCCATGCGACTGGCCACGTTCACGGTGTTGCCCCAAATATCATAGTGAGGTTTGCGGGCTCCAATCACTCCTGCTAGCACCCCTCCCTTATTCAGACCTGGAGGAAAGTGTTGACACATGTGACATGCAAGATCAGACTGGTATTTTAGGTAAGATTGACTGTCAACACTACACTTGCAAGAACCTGACTCTTCAGATCTCCTGTTTTACATTCAGCAGATTAACAGCAGAGATTTGGGGAATTCTATGTTGGTCTACATTTTTTAAAATTGTGAACTTCTATCTCTTGGTTTACGAAGTTTCCCTCAACACTCTTTTCACTAAACATGAGAATATAACCCCTTGATTTCACACTTACATTGGTGAGAAAAATATGTTATCACAATGATGCACAATACTACAGAAACAAGAAACAACTTGTATTTTTACTTTCTTTTTAAATTAGCACACAGACAAACCACAATTAAACAGAGAGGTAGATGGAGTACTTAAAAACTCATGATCATGCCTCATTTAAAGAGAAAAGAAAGCTATAGATTCCTCTTTGAGGTTGTTTGAGAATTTAACTTATTTTATTTGGATGATGAATGCATGTGGCATATGTCCAAATAGGTCAGAAGGATAAACTTTGCAGAATTCTTGCAATATACACTTCTGAGTGCATTTTTTTGTTACCTGTATTGGTAACTATGGCCATTGGCCAGGAACAGATATCGTCAGGTGGTGTCCATCTTTCAGTGAGTGTTTTAGTCCTCAACCACTACACCCTCCAATTGGTGGGCCGGCAGTGATTGGCCAAATCACTGCCTATCTGCTCCTGTGCTCCAGCTTTCCTCCTCCCTTTTGCTCCACAGCTAACAGGATGTTCGCTCTGCCTCTTTCCCCATCTTGCGAGCAACTTGTTCTTTGCTCCTTCCATCAAATCCAAGTGCTGACAGCATCTGCCATTCTGACTTAGTGGGGAAACCTCTGCGGTCTATCTCCACTGGGAAAGCCACACCTGCCAGCCCTTGTTCCTGCAGAATTGAACCAAGGACTGAGTCTGGACTTCCGCCTGGACCATGCCCCGCCTGGTTCTTACATCCGCGTTTCCCCATCGCTGAAAATGTGTTGAGCCGAGGCGTTTCCGCTGGACACATGGGTTGCCCACGATGTCAGGCAGCTTTAGAGAGCTGATTGCTTGCTCTATGGCTGCTTTGGCTGTCCACTTTGGCTGTCCAGACCTAGTTGTGACTCCTGCTCGTCTCACCAGGTCATTGTTGGAATCGCTGAGGCTTACTTCGACTCTTCATTTGGCAACCTTGAACTCCTTCACATCCAATGATAGGGGGAGTTGAAGCTGCCCAGAACCAATGTAGAGGCCCACTGAGGTAAAGCTTGGTGGGACTCTGAGCCATCTTCTTAGGTGTCTGTTGATCTTTCTCTCGATGCCCTCAACAGCAGTCCTGTGAAGACTGTGTAGAGTCACAGCAACCTAGGCAGGAGGCCGTGTTGGTCCAGCCAGGTCTTGAATATACCCGGAAGCTTAGACTTGTCTATCTTCCTCAGCCGTTCTTCAGTCTACTTTACCACATTGGAGATGTTGATGCTATCAGACAAGGACGAATTAAACCACTTCCCTGAGCATTTCACTGGGTTGTCCACAATGGTTGCAGTAATTTCTCCTTGGATGTCGAGGTTGAACTTGCTGGTAACTTTGCCTTTTTTGATCACCAAGTGTCTGGATTTGCTGGCCTTGAACAACATTCTTGCCAAGTGGCTGCATCGTCCAAGGTTTTCAGCACCCATCTTGCAGGACATGTGTTGCTGTTGTTATTGCAATGTCATCCATGAACCCATGCAGTGCTGGTTGGACGACACGCAACTCCAGTGTGGGGCCATGGGTTACATCCTCTGCTGCAGATATGAGTTGGTTCATGCCCATCAGGAACAGAACAGGAGAGATGGTACATCCTGTGGGGATTTCCCTCTAGAGGTCCAGCCAGTTGGTTGTAAAGGAAGCAGATGTGAATCTCAGTTTGAATCCTCTTAGCTGATTATTGCTTGGATGGCTGGTAGTGGCCGAGCCCTTGTTGAATGAGGTTGTGTGGGATTGACCAATAGGCATTTGCAAGATGTAGCCAGACCACTGTAAGGTTGCCTTTTCTCTGCTTGGTCTCCCGGATCAACTGGGTGATCATAGAGGTGTGTACAATGCATCCGGAGAATCCAGGGATGCCTCCTTTCTGAATGGATGTGTTGATGAAGTAGTTTTTTGTCTGACCTCCTGGTCAGTCCTCTTGCAAGGATGGAGAAAAAGATTTTACATTCCACGTTCAGGAGAGAGATTGTTCTGAATTGTTCTATTGTGGAAGAACCTTCTGCTCCGGGAACAAAACAGCCCTCTGCCAGTTTCCAGCTTGCTGGGATTGAGCCTTTTGCCCAGATCTTCCTCAAGATCTTTCATCACCTCCAGAGAAATTTTCTGTACACCTGGTATGGTACACCATTCAGGCCTGGAGCAGCTGATGCTCTGGCTTTCCGGATGATGTCCCGGATTTCCTGCCATGTGTGGGGAGGGTTTGTGTCCAGCCCAGTCTTCAGCTTTCCCGGTCTAGGGATATCGGGGTTTTCACCTAGCTCCAGGTGTCCATTGTGGGACCTGCAAAGAAATTCTTCTGCCTCTCTCTTCGAGCTGGATAGTGTGCCAGATTTTTGTTGGACAAGGAAAGTTCCACACCTCGACTTGCTCTGATGACCTTTTTGCAGACTCTCCCGCAATGACACCTAACTGCAAATTCCTCCCCGGTCAGTGTTGACTTGTTTCAGGTTTCTCGTAGTCATTTTCCATGTCTTGGCAGTTACCAGTGTATCCGTCCCATTGAGTCTCTCATCCTCCCCCTCCTCTTGGGAGGCTCTGGGAATTTTGCTCTTTTGGCACTTTTGTAGCTTGAATTGGTGCCCTCTTGCGAGTGCTGCACACAAGGTTTCTAGTCTTGTGTATCCACACCAGTCTTTCCTGGAGGTCAGCTGTCTCTCCTAGATACACTGTATTGCCAAAAGTGCTAGCTCACCTGCCTTCACTTTATATGAACTTCAGTGACATCTCATTCTAAATCCATAGGGTTTAATATGACATTGGTCCACCCTTTGCAGCTACAACAACTTCAATTCTTCTGGGAAGGCTGTCCACAAGGTTTAGGAGTGTGTTTATGGGAATTTTTGACCATTCTTTGAGAAGCGCATTTATGAGGTCCCACACTGATGTTGGACAAGAAGGCCTGGCTCTCAGTTTCTGCTCTAATTCATTCCAAAGGTGTTCTCCCGGGTTGAGGTCAGGATTCTGTGCAGGCCAGTCAAGTTTATCCACACCAAACTCTCTCATCCATGTCTTTATATACCTTGCTTACATCAGCAGCCCACATTTTATCCAGCTATTCATCATCTCTCACCTGGACAACTGCAAACCCCCTGCTGTGGCTCCTGTCTCTACCACCAGACCTCTACAGCTAATCCACAAATCTCCTGCTTGCTTGGTGTTCAGACTTCCCAAGTGTCCACACCACTCCTTTTCTGTGGTCATTTAACTCGGTCCCTGCTCCTGTGCCATCCTGTTTAAAACTCAGCTGCTAGGAAACATAGCAGTAAATGGAACTGCTCCTTCCTACCTCCAAGCTATCATCTACCCCAAAACCTTTTAAAACGCACATCTGGATTCTCTCCATATTTCCACAACTTTTAGGACTTCTGCTTTTATTTCTTTGATTCTGAGCAAAACACAACAATACATACCACCCAACAGCCCTATGTGAAGGGCTAGCACTTACCAATGCGTAGCATGAAGTTGTTGAATGACTGGTAGTTAATGTTCATAAGTGTGACTTTCATGGCCAGAGCAAAGTCTGCTAGGTCTGCTAGGTGCTGCCAGCGCTCTTTGTCAGACTGCTCCTCCTTCTGTCAAACAAAAAGCAAACATGACTAAAAACACAACATTTCAGCACAATGAGGATGACTGGTTGTGAAGTGAAAACTATATACTCTATTTAGATATATGCTACTTTGAGTGCAGAAAAAGAACCCCTCTTAGCAACTGGCAGAATAAATCGTGTTGTGTGGGTTCCAATGGTTAGCTATATGAATAGGTTAAGAATTTGAAAACAAGTTCCAGTGCATCTATACAAACATCCTGAATAAATATCTTGAAAGGAATACCAGACTCCCCAGAGACAGTCATGATTTCCTAAGCTGCTAAGGATTTTCCTATAGGTTGAAAGTAAATTGTCATGTTGGTTGAATCAACCAGAGAGAAACACTGGAAGCCTGGAAAAGTCATATGACCATGCTGACCTTCATGCAGGTGTAGCCATTGCTGATGTCTGGGGTGACACCTGATGCTGCCATGTAGGTGCTGCCAATGGTCTTGATTTTTGTGATGAAGCGGAACTGAGGTTCATCCAGTAACTGACATGGATACAGGTGAAAGGTTACATTTACACACACTGATGGCATAATCACAGAATCTAAAACTCCAACCCATTCTAAAACAGCTATTATACCATAGTCTAAAGGAAATCTTAACAGCCAGTCAAAGACTAACAGACAGAGCAATGACTTTAGGCTAAAGAGTAAAGATGGTAACATATTAAAGGGAACATATAATGCTGTTTCGGATTTTCTCCCCCTTATATACTCTGGGGTAGGATGTCTGTTGTACGCAGTCAAATTTCAACAATGTGGAGTGTATATGAGAACATGTTCCTTGCAAGTCAAAAGCCAAGGTTTGCACGCCTTGGCAAATGTCATATTTTTTTATTTAAAGATCCTCCCAAATGAAAAACAAGTGTTTGCTGACATGGGCATATGATGTTTTTCTATATGCTGGAAGACATTGTGAGCAAAACAAGAATTTCATGACACAGAAATGCCGTGGCATTTCTACCTTGGAGTGGCAATAGTGGCTTGATAGTTTAGGCTCTGGTTTGCTGATCAGAAGGTTAGGGGTGCAAGCCATCAAACTACAAATGGTTTGGCCTTGCCATGGCTGACCCTGTAAACTGACCCCAACTTCCTAACAAGCTGAGATACTAAAAAAAAAAAAAGGCTGCTGATTTTTTTTCTTGAAACTGCAATGTATCAACAATAGACTCAAAAACACTGATTTAGACTTTCAGGGTTTCATAACTAAGGAACCAATTCCGTTAACTAGTGGGGTAGGACTTTCCATATCATTTTTCTTCTTTAGAATCATTTTCTGGTGCAAGCATGCATGACTGTATTACTATTACTACAATTATTGTGTTCTGAAAGCCTTGTTTGCAATATTAACTCCACTCCTTATTGGAGGATTTGGATGAAAACGAATAATGCATTTGAGGGTCTTAAAGAAAGTGAAGCCTAAATCTCATCTTTCAGACAGACGAAACATAGGGATGTATAAAACTTCAGTATAAAATGAATCAAAAGTAACAAAATAAAATTATTTTCATCTGTAAATTTTGCAAAAATATTCCAAGTGATGACCAGAACAAAATTAAAGACTTGGGAATCTTCAAGATATGTTGCCTTTCCTATTGAGTGTCTTTTATGTTTAGGCAATCACTGCATGTGTCATGTGTGGTCCTTTGAAACTCTTATGTTCTTATACTTGTGCCCCTAGTGTGGCTGCTGCTAAAACACAGGACTAAAATGAGAAAAACAGCTTACACTGTCAAAGTCTGAGATGATCTCGTTGAGAAACCGTAAGCATTCAATACCACCATTATTAATGCTCTCTTCTGTGTAAAAGTCAGAGAAGTTGGGGATTGAAGCAAACATGACTCCAATTTCATCGTAGGACTGGCTGTACAATTCCTACAACAGAACAAATCATTAAAATGGATAGCAACACAAATGTGAATGCTGATGAAATACTCCCTGAATGAATAAAAAAATATAGTATAATTTTACAAGATGTAACAACAATAATACTGCAGAAACACACATCATGTTTTCTAATTTTCTGACTTTTCTGACCATGTTAACAGTGTAACTAAAGTGTTCAAACTGTCAAGCAAGATGAAATGCCATAACGTGGAATTGTGAGATAAGTGATATATTTTTGATACATGGTAAGAGGACAGGACTGATGTGATGTCTGTGGATGTGAAGTTCTTACCTCGTCCCTTTTCTTGGAACCCAGGAAGTGTCGAGCCACATGTTCAGGCAGCATGTTGGTCACCAGTGCTTCATTCCAGCGCCTCATCTCATACACTTTCTCCTTCTGCTCGTGGACCTCGATCTTCCAGAGGAAAAGGGTGCGTGCAAGTTTCTCTACCTTCAAGGCAGCGACAGGGACTGATATTAGCATTTGATCGGTTTATGGATTTGAAAGCAGAAATGGCACATATAAACAAACCACATGTAAAGTCACTTACTTGAGTTGAACTGATTATGCTTTAATCTGAACTCATGTGGTTTAGATGTAATACTGAAATAAATGAATAAAAAAAGATACAAAAAACAGCCTACTGTTTATTCAGTTGGATGAAAATATTTTTTGGCACCTTTGAGTACATATTTTGTTGATTTAAAGACCCAGTGAAAAACAAGGTTTTTACCTTATTAGCATGTGCATAAGGGATTTTTTTAATATGCTGAAAGACATCCAAAATAAGCAGTCAATGCCAGAGTGAAGCATGCTACCTTCAAGCCCCACAGCTACCAAACTGCCACTGGTCTACTCCAGGGGTGCCTTATCATAGTGAACCCCAACTTCCTAACAAGCTGGGAAATCAAATCAAATCAAATCAAATAACATCTCAAGTTGCTGTAATATGCTAGTGGATCTCAAACAATTACAATATTGTAAAAGTTCAAACTTTTAAAAATATGTTCATTTGCAAAGACAATACTTGGTAGGGGCTCCTTTACCACAAAATACTGCCTCAATGTAGTTTTGCATGGAGGCAATCAGCTTGTGGTACTGCTGAGGGCTTACTGAAGCCCAGGTTGTTTTGATAGCTGCCTGCTTAAGTGCTGCCTTCAAGTGCTAAGTCCTGCTGAAAAAGAAAATCGGCATCTCGGCATAGTCTGGCCAACAATGAACCCAGCAGACACAGATACCGGCTCTGTTTCAGTGCCAGCCCTGTCACAATTCCATCAGGCTGTAGCCAATCAGGGTGTCTTATTAGGCCACAATGACCAAGCCCTGAGGAGGATCTGACAACAATCAAACAATTCTATTCCAAATCACCCTACTCACCAACCAGGTAGCCATGTTGTCAGCTCAAATTAACCAGCTGGTCTCAACCCAGGATAATGTGGCCCAACGACCTGTTTCCCATCTACTCCGAGTCAGGTTTTCCCCTCAGTAGGATACAAACTGTTTGTTCCAGTTCCTAAGCGCTATGATGGAGATTTAGGGGCATGTTCCTAATACAGGTGTCTCTAGTCTTCAGTCAGAATCCCCTCACTTATGCTGCGGACCGCGCTCATACAGCTTACCTCTTAGGCTTACTTAAGGGAACACAACAAGATTGGGGATCAGCGGTCTGGGAGGCGCAGTCAGATGTGTATGATTCCTACAAGGCCTTCACCTTAGAAATGAAGAGGGTCTTCGACCACCCGGTAAGCTGGAAATTCCCTCAGAGCAGCTCAGTTCCCCCTTGGAAGCCTGATGCCTCAACGGTCAACACCTAGCCCGGGTAAACTGTAGAACCATCCCTGTAAGCCTCCTGGTCAAATTAAGGACTCACTAACAGCTGGCATCAAACGTTCTCCTCGTCTCCAGTAGGAGTCAGCGTCTTCTTCATGGGGAAAAAGGATGAAACCCTCAGGCCCTGTATTGACTTCCGCAGACTTATTTTAGTAGATTAATCGTAGCAACTGGACTTGCTTGAGTTCCTTGAAGATGTTTCACGTCTCATCCAAGAGGCTTCGTCAGTTCTGACTGATTAGTTGGGAGATCCAGGTGCTTATATCCTAAGGCGCCATTAACACCTGAGTTTCAGTTCCAGTTGGGGGTTGTTACTCCTCCCCGTCGTTATGTGAGTCGTCGGTGCTCCCCTTGCCACAAAGGGGTTCGTTAGGGTCTTTTGTGGCTAGGTGTGAATGCAGTGTCATCTTCCTGGGGAGAGATCTTAGGACTGAATTGTAAACAGGTAAGAGATGATGCCACAGGCCTCCACCTCTGTTGAGGGATGGTCTTTCCAGTTTGACATAGATGGCTTCTTTCACTCCTCTCTCAAACCATATGTCCTCCCTGGCCAAAATCTGTACGTTGTTGTCTTGGAATGAGTGTCCTTTGTCCTTGAGATGCAGGTGGACTGCTGACGGACCTCCACAACACCTATCATCTGGTGTGCATCTGGAAAGGGGAGGAGTGAAAAACTGCCTTTAACACACCTATGGGACCCTACAAATACCTAGTGATACCCTTTGGCCTTACCAAAGCCCCAGTGGTTTTCCAAAGCCTGGTGAATGATGTGCTCTGTGACTACCTCACGCAAACTACCTGTTTGTCCTTGACTCTGTACAGTCCCAGGTGCTGCAGTGGGCCCATTCCAGCTGCCTGACATGTCACCCAGGGGTCACATGGACGTTGCCTGTCCTCCGCCAGCAGTTCTGGTGGCCGTTCATGGACCGTAATACACGTGAATTCATCGCAGCTGTCTGTACACAGAACAAGCTGTCCAATCAGCTTAGTTCCGGCCTCATCTATCGGCTGCCCATTCCCAGGGGACAGTGGTCACTGGATTTTGTTACCGGACTTCCGCCGTCAAACAGTAATATAGTCATCCTTACTGTTATTGACCATTTTTCACTGTTATTGACCAAGTCACACATTTCATAGGCCTGCCTAAACTACCTGCCGCAAAGGAGACCACTGACATATTGGTTTCACATGTGTTCTGTCTGCATGGTCTACCCAGTGACATTGTGTCCAACAGGGGGCCACAATTCACGTCAGAGGTCTTGAAAGCCTTCTGTTCAGCTTTGGGGGCCACGGACAGCCTCTCCTCAGGGTTCCATCCCCCATCCAACGGCCAGATGAAGAGGCCAATCTGGACCTAGAAACAAACTCTCCACTCCCTAACATCCAACAACCCAATGTTCTGGGCTCCTTAATCCCCTGGGTGGAGTATGCCCATAACACCCTGCCAAACACATAATCTTGATTCTCACCTTCTCAGTGTTCTCTTGGGTACACTAAAAACCCCCTCTGTTTCCTGCCCAGGAAGAGGAGATTGCTGTGCTGTCCATCCAATCCCACATCAAATGTTGTGAGAGAATGTGGACACAGGGCCGCTTTGCTCTCCTCTGTGGCTCGAAGAGGATGCAAGCCCAGGCCAACTGTTGTCACACTACTGCCCCAGCCTATGTCAGCAGCCAGAAAGTTTGGCTCTGCTCCAAAGGCCTCCCTTTAGGAGTGGAGTCTAACAAACTAGCCCCCTGCTTTGTAGGGCTCTTTGAAATCGAAGTTGTAGTCAACCCCTATGTGTCCGTTTAAAGCTTCCTCCCTCCATGCAGATCCACCTCACCTTCCACTCCTCTCAAGTTAAACTCGTGTGGAAAAGTATAAAAAAAAAAAAAAAAATTGAAGGTGGAACTACACTCTCTTGTCACAGGCAGTAGTAATGTTTTTGCCAATTATATTTTATAACCTGAAAGTCTTCAAAACTGACTTAAGCAGTTGAGGATGTGTGGAGTTGAGGATGTGACAAACAGAGTTTTAAAGGATTTTAAAAGTTTTTTAAACATACAATAAAAGACCATCGGCACAAAGACAAAACTTCTGACTTATGCCTTGCACATTCAAAGCCTTCAACGTGCTTGGACTGCCTTAAAGCAGTAACCAAGGAATCAATCCCAACAGCAAAGAGAAGCGATGACATCTACGAAATGTACCTCTATTGAAAGCAGTGTTTTGAAATTGCTTCTTTGTGACTGCAGTCACTGGGTTGGATTAGAGTAGCCTTATCCTGCAAAAAACAAACAAACAAAAAACAAAACAAAAAAACCCTATCTCTTAAAGCCCAGTTTTGATGAGTTCCACATAGAAATCCCCCACTCCACCTGGCTGGAAGCTTTTTCAGCATCAAGCGACAATATTAGTTCAGCTGTAAAGCTGTCTGTTGTGTATGCTAAGAACCCATCTTACATTTGAGCTAGCGTGTCTGTCTTTGACAAAGCCTGCCTTTTTTGGTGAAATACAATGTAGTAAAACGTATATTAATCTAGTTGCTAAAATGTTGGTTACAATTGGATAGTCCACATAAAGTACTTATATTGGTCACTATAACCTACACTAGAGTGAGTCTTTGTCATTTTTTGGCAACACAGTTATTGCAGCTTGACACCGAGATGCTGGGACACAACCAGACGCAGTGCATTTATTAAGTATAGTTTTCTGAAGAGGACACAATTCAACAGCCAACTTCTAACAACTTCTAAGCTGTAACCATGGGATTCAGGGTTGTTATTCATCTTGAGTGATTCAATAGCTGCCAGAATATCTGCTATCGAAATGTCTGTTCCCAAAGTACAGTTTCTTTTTGCTAGTACAGTGTGAAGCCCTCGATGGTAAAAAGGAGCCACTGATTTGTGTGAGGTCATAGTCACAATCTGATTTATATAGCTCAGTACAAAACTCTTTAAAGGTATGGTTATTTTTGTTGTTATTGTTGGTCAGTACTTTATCAACTAGTCAGTACTCTATCGTGGATCTGTCTGGCAAGATTACTGAGCCTATATTTTACTGGCTTTGTTCCAAACTTTATAGTTGTTGTGGCAGGCTTTCAAAAACAGATGTGTGGCTCCATTAAAAGAGAGGGATATCTGAAGGGGGTTTAGATCTATTTTGGAAAATAAATGAGAAATTTAGCTTAGAATTTCTTGCTTTATTTATTCCTGAAAAGTAGCTGAGTTTCTGCTCAATGATGAAGAGTTTCCAACAAGGTGGAGTGGCAATTATCTGGGGATATATTACTTTTAACAGTCACAGAAATAACTTGAATCTGACAAAAGTAATAATAAATAAAAATTCAATGAAAACTTAACAATGAAAATCAGAAATTGCTTTTGAACCGTGGTTCAACAGAATTCTTTTTAAAAATTAACTCATAAAACAGGCCTGGACAAAAATGGTGGTACCCCTAGAAAAAAAAAAAAAAAGTGACCATAGGGCAGAGATGGGGACTCGAGTTTGTAACTCAGACTCGAGTCGCACTTAAGTCGCACACAGAGAGACTTCAGATTTGACTCGTGCTCAAAAGACTTCAGACTCGACTCGGACAAATGTTTTGGGACTCATGAACAATCATTATGTTTTATTTT